CATCTTTGTTGGTATGTGGTGCTGAGGATCGAACCCGGGCCGCACGCATGCCAGGCGAGCGCGCTACCGCTTGAGCCACATCCCCAGCCCAGGATCCCATTCTTGTGGTTGTACATGATGTGGAGTTTCACTGATGGTGTATTCATATGTGAACATAGGAAAGTTATGTCAGAGAAGATCCACTAGACTTTGTTTTCAGATATAAATACCTTTTAAACTTAAGCCGAGGTGCTGCTTGGTCCCTCACCTATGAGGGTTTGCTTTCTCTTGGGCAGGCGTCTTTGATAGAATTACCTACTGTACATTGTGTAGGTTGGTCCTAGGTCCTAGTCTTCCATGAGCAGGGGTGACCCACTTATGTCTGAGAGTCATTTAATATCACTTTGATCTGTGTTTTTTGTGTTGTTTTAATAGACATGGAACAGCTAGGCTRTAACTGATAGACTGGTAAAGCTAAAAGATTAGTGATATTAAATAGATATCTGGAGTCTGGGTCTGTTTATTGCTAAGGAAAACTCATCTGACCTGTGGACTCTATAAAATCTCCCCAAAATGAGATACTAAATGTCAAAGCATTTTATAAACTAAATCAATTCAAATGTGTATATAAAAACATGCTTCCTGAATTTTTATTAATTATCAATCAACTATTTCCTATGCCATGATTTACTATTTTGAAAGTGAGATTTTTAAAGGGTTTCACCCTCCCTCCTTCCCTCCCTCTCTCTCTCTCTCTTTCTCTCTCTCTCCTGGAGATTTAACCCAGAGGTGCTTTACCACAGAGCTTACATCCCTAACACCTAGCACTTTTGTTTTGAGAGAGAATCTCACTAAATTGCTGAGGCTGGACTTGAACTTGATCTTTGTGCCTCAGATTCTGAAGCCACTGGGATTGGAGGCATGCGCCAACATGCCCAGCTTCTTTTCTTTTCTTTCTTTTTTTTTTTTTTCATGGTACTAAGGATCAAATTCAGGGCCTCATGCAGTCTAGGCAAGCATTCTGCCGCTGAGCTATACCCCCACCCCTGAATGTCATATTTAATCTCAGAGTTTTGTTGCTTCCCCAAGGTGAAATTGAAAAGGAAATGATCTTTGCAGACCATGAGTAAGGCAACTGTTGAGATGGTAGTTTATCAAGTCATGCTAAAGTGTCAGTCGACATGAATTAAGACAGATTGGATGAGGTTATTATACCGTGGGGATTCCCTAAGACAAAGCTACTTGAATAGTGTAGTCCAGGGAAGTACTAACAGCTCAGCTATCCTTTTATTTTCCTCACAAAGTAATCTATTTGAAAAGATGTTTATTCAATGAAGGAAGGAAAGGAGGAGGAGAAGGAGGGAGGGAGGGAAGAATAATAATGCTTAGAAAAAAGCAACTAAAGGTTGTTTCAATTATGCTTCTGAAGTGCTAGCTGGCATGTTTCATAAAGATGAGAGGCTACTTAAATCTGTTAAGGGAAAAAAACATAAATCTCTCTCTGCTCTTGAAGAGTGGAGAAATGACAAAAGTGAATCTGTTTTTGCAGCAAAAAGCAGAAAGCCTTGTACAGAAGTAACCCAAGAATTAAAGAGCCTTGCATGTCAGAGCTATCTAAATGTTTGATGAATTGAAAAGAAAAAGAACATTCATGGTGATTATTATTTCTTCCCCAAATACCTGATATAAAAAGAAGTGGCCTCCAAGTTGTGGAATGTAAATCTTTTATTAAAACAGTTGTCTTTCCACAGTAGTAAAGCTTTGGCACATACAGTATAAAAAATAATCACCAACCATAATTATACCAAATTTCTCTTATCAACCGCATACCAAGTGTCTTCAATACAATTTTTTTCTGTATAAAAATACTGAGAAAAATTGATAAATAACAGGTAAGAGAAAGACACTTCTAAGCAACTGTTAGAATCATTTGGAAGAAGTGAGTACTGTGGATATTTTAAATATCACAGTAGCAAGGACACGCCATTCCTATAGTATTGTGGGCCAGACAATTAAATGAAAGCAGAAGTGTTTGGGCAACTTTCCTATTTAAAATTTTGGTAACATTATTCAATACATTATGCAAACCAAATCAGACCGAGAATCATTTCATTTAAAATACTGAGCAGTATTGACGATTCTGAAGCAGAACAGGCAACATACTGCCCTAATTTATGAGAAAAGTCTCAAAACACTTCCCAGGGTGATGCTTGGAGAAGCTGTGAGTTGAGCTGAAGCTGGAGTCTCCAGAGCAAAAGGCTAAGAAAGAAACAAACATTCAAAGATGGAATCTGCTAACATCACTCGACTTCGGATAGACCATGGCAGACATAGATGCTTGTTCCGTTGGGTTGCAAATATTACTCTCTGGAATCTTCTTTGTCAGCCTGCACATCTAAAGGCATGAAGCACTCGATTGGGCAATCAACATTCTATTAATGGAAGAAGAAGAGAATCAGTAGCAAATACTCTAAAGTATATGGGGGTGTGGGTGGGAAGGGGAGACTTGTGACAACGGTTCATGGAAAGGAAACTTTCTAGTTTGAAGAGCCCAGCCATATACTGAGCAATGAGAGATGTTCAAAAATTCAATGATGCTTTAGGATACAGTATCCCACACAAGTCACTTAAGAGATCTTTAAAAACAAACAAACAACAACAACAAATATTTGGTTCATTCAGAAGAAAGGAATCTGCAGAAAGAGATTCCCTGTCATGCACCCAGTTACATTTAGGGAGAGTCTACAGGGGCAAATGGACTTACAGTGTTTGTTCTCTGATGATATCTCGGTGTATACTGGTTGGGGGAGTGACCTGAGGAGGGGCCTTCAGGAACAGTTGAACCACCTGGTCTGTAACAGTTGTCACAGAGCCAGCCCTGGAGGAGAGAGATGAAACAAATGGAGCTTAGGACAGACAACCCAAGGACATCAGAATTAGTGCTTGAGTTAAGAATTTCAGCTCTTGTGCATTGGTCAAATAAAAGCAGTTAATCACTAAAGAAGCACCGATGAGAATCTCATGCATTTGCAACTCTTGGAATACATTTTGGTTTATCACCAAAGCTCACACTAGTCTCTGCATACACTGTCTTTCTCCTGGAAATTCCTCTCTTCTCTTCCTATCTAAATCCCACTCAGTCTGCTAAGTCTGATTGCAGTCCCAACATCCTCAGCATTTTTTTTTTTTAATACTAGATGATGGAAGAGATTGTTTCAAAGAATCCTAGAGCTTTTAAAAGAGACTTGAGACCACCTTCATTATACAGCAAAGGAAATAGAGATCCAGAGGAGAGGAGTGGCTTGCTGGGAGGGAGAAGGGAGTCACACAATGGGCCATGGTTTGGGGCTGCCACCACAGAGCTGSGCTGACTCTAGCCAAGGTCTTTCCAGCATCGTATGGCTACTCCCTTCCTAAACCACCCTGGCCAGTAACATGGAAGTCTTGCCTCTGGCCAGCAATGGAGTGGAGCATAGGAACAGACCACGCTACATCAGTAAAGCTCTCTCAGATTTTTGCCTGAAGTGTGAGGAAATGAGAGTTCTCTTTCTCTGTTCCTAAATTGGGAGATGGTAAAATTGAAGCTGGTCATGGATGTCACCAAAAGCAGGGAATCTACTAGAAAAGAAAATGTAGCCCAAGAGCAACAGACTCCAGATGCCATGGTGGGAGCTGCCCCTCAAGCTGGTAGATACAGAACTTTTCAGTTATGGGAGACATTTTGCCCACTAACTTGAACAGGACTTTTCCTTTTGCAACCCAAAGAACACTAATATATTCTTTCTTATTTTTTTTTATATATATTTTATACGTTTTTTCATATCTTTTAAATATTCTAGACATTTTCCGTTTTGTAGCCTACTTCCCATAACACCTAACATAATACAGGTCAATGCCTACCCACAGAATCAGGAATGTTCCTACTCCTGTCATAAGTGGTTCATTGAGCACTTTGGAACAGAATAGGGGTCACAGAGGAAAGGTTTCACATTCATTAAGTAACAAAGAGACTGAAGTGTGACCAATGTCTACTTTCCAATAAATTCTCCTTTACACATTTTTATACCAAGATGACTGAGTTCTATGACCAGTCTTTATGAGAGAAAAGGGGGGGGGGGGTTGAAAGAAAGAGACCAACTTCACACACTAGGGATGGAATCAGATCAGTTTCCTTGGGCTGTGTCCCTTGGTAAGGTGATGCAGACAGAACCCTGAAGAAGCTTCCCTGCTGCCAGATGAATCTCCCCAAAGTACATTTTCCTTCACGCTCATTTTCTTCTTGTGCATCTGTAACTGGTTAATGCCAAATATATCATGCTGTGGACCTCGCCTGGGGTGGAAGCATGTTTCCTTCGCATGGATCAGAATTGGGAGCGCTGTTAGGAAAGGCATGTCTCCATTGAAAACTAAGGACTATGACCTTCCATTACTTTCCAGTTACAAGAGTCATTTCCCTTTGAAATTTCACTTATTTGGGAAAGGCACAGCATTCTGTTGTTACAATGAAGGAGGGCATATATTAGAAATAGCTGAGGAGTACTGGCTTAAATAGTGGATTTTTTTGCCATCTAATTTCTGACAACAAGACACTTAGGCAGAGGTTTGGTTCACTGGAGCCCACCTGGGCCAGTTCATCCTATCCCTGGGGTTGTGCTTACTGACTTTCTGCTCCCTTAACCAAATCTCAGCCATCCCAAGTCCAGCCAGTTTATGCTTCTCTTTTCCATAAACCCTTTCTTGCTGACTCCAGTCTAGCCAGAACTGTATTTGTCAGACTCAACTCAAAAACCTTCCTTAATTAGCTTGATTTTAAATACATACTAATGTAATTTCTGACTATATCATTAAGTAAGAGCCATGACCACTTCTCATTTCCTGTTTGTCCCATTTACTTAGCACATTAGTACAGCTAGTACAAGGATATATTTTTGGACTGAGAGAGGGCACAAAGTGGAATTTTCTTAGACCCAAAGTATTATTTGAAATATTTCACAACAAGGCCACAGGGAAATTGTCCATCAGCATAGAGCTGGCTCCTCGGTGCCAGGCATGGGGAGGGGCTGTCTGCCATCCTCAGGGAGGATGCTCCAGAGTCTTATCAACTCTTCATAAGAGGCACGGAGGCACCTTGTACACAGCATGTAAATACAAGAGCCTCCTCTGTGTCATATCTAAATTGCAGGGAACCTGGCACATCCCATCTTACCTGCTGGCCTCCAAAGCATGTGCAGGAACAAATGGCACCTAAAAATTCCTTCTGCCACCGTTCTCCCACCTGGTAAACCTTCCCATCATCGTAGCATGTTGTCCCATCTACATGCAGGCACAAATCAGAAGCACATGTAAGACCAAGAACAGCAATGCAGACTCAGCTTGATACAAGGGTGGGTTCTATTTTATCCTAAATTTGTATCATCAAAGTCCAAATTACACAAATTTATATGAATCATCATAAGAGAGGTACTACTCCTCAGATCTTAAGGCAGCATTTCCACAAACTAGATCTAATAGGTTCAATGGAAATCATATTTTAAAAGTTGAATTGACAGACCAATAGAGACTTCTTCCACCATTTTCACTGCAGATAATGATCAAAATACTCAGAAAAGTGCTAAAGTGGCCTGTAATAACATTCCATCATGACTCCTTTTTGAGGCTCAACTCCACTTTTCCAAATCAAAAGATGAACAAAGCCTCTGTTCAAACCTCAAGGGGACCTAAAGTCTCCAGTCCATCCTGTGAATGGGAGTTACAGCCCATAATGGAAGTGGGTGTGCCAATAGAGCTCTGGAAACCATTCTCAATGACCTACCGGGATCACACTTGAATTCTCCTTTCCCATTGCCCAGGCACGTGCAGCTCAGCATCTCGCCGGTGTCTGCCCTGCGAGTCCACTTCTCCCCAATCTTGTAGTTCACACCATTGTCGTAGCACCATTCTGTGTGGGTGGGAAAATCACAGGCAGAGTTATTTGTGTTCTGACTCTCAAAAGCACACCTGAATATAGGATTTTAAAATCCACACATCTGGAAAGAATGACAAGTTAAAGGTCACAATCCCTACTGTGAACTGATTCTTCAGTTGGGCTTAAAAATATAGTTTCTACTATTTATTATTTTCTAGGCCATTTTTAAGGCACTCCATAGTAATCATGTCATAGCACTTGGTCAATGATTTCCATTTGAATTTTTGTTAAGGTTTCAAATTGTGGTGAATGAAAGCAGGATCAGAGTAGTCTTTTAGGAATATATATATATATATATATATATATATATATATATATATACACATATATTTAAAAAATCAGTTTTGTATTTGCAGAGACCTTAGATACAAAGAAGTGCGATGAAACAGATCAGCATTTTCTTTCTGCCATGACCTCTTGCATGTAAGTTGAAAGAAAGAATAAACATAGATGACAAAACAATGATAAACCCTGGCTATCATCCCTACAAATAGAGATCTGGTGCTGAAGAGGATCCACAAGTCCTATCCCTTTACCATATGTAAAAGATGACTTTTAGTCTCTGAGATTTATACTAAATAGAACACACTTAGGAAGTTTACATCAGAATGCATTTTTTCTTCTAATTTATAAAACCAACAATTCACAGGATGGACTGGAATTTTCTTCCTCAAATTGGAAGAAAAGGCATTAAACAACTATGACATTCAAGCAAAGAATATGTAAGTTGATCTAAAGACTCTCATAAACAACCTTAGAGTTCTGCTCCCACAATTGCACCTAATACACAGAAAAAAAATAGGCAGACTTTTAAAAAGTAGTTCATTTTCAGAAGTTAAAAACCAACCACCTCATTGCTGCCAAATGTTAGCACACGCAACTCTACTGCAGTGCACGCCCATACTTCTGCTCAGCCTCCCAATTTTATATACCATTTTCAGGTGGCCAAGCTCAGAAGTCTACACTGTAAAAATTCAATCCAGATTGAATTTCAATCTGGATTAAGCCATTTCATGTATACAAGTCAACTAAAACACTTTTAAGAAATCTTTAAAAATCTGTTCTGTTTTACTTCCATGAATATGATTTCTATAAAAGTCGATAAAAGGCTTGTTTATATGGTATAATGGTTAACACCGGTAAAAATGAACCAATGGTCAATAATGATTATATCTCCTAAAATCAAAGAATAAGTGAAAGGTTATAAATTCTAATACTAACTCTCAAAGCACAATAGATAAATCCTAGGATCACTGTAATTTGAAATATTAAAATCTCTATAATTTGAAAATCAAATATTTTTTGGTGAAGTGGCTTTTAAATATGGACAAGTAGAATATCTGTACATTTTCCTTTACATTACTAGCAATATTCAAACTATGTGGCTGGTGTGTGTGTGTGTGTGTGTGTGTGTGTGTACATATTCAATGTGTGTATTTGTGATGTGTGTGTATAATGTGAAAGTGTGTGTGTAGTACATGTGTATGTTTGATCTGTGCTAAATGGGAATGAGTATGAATCATCACCTTGAACCACATTCAACACTAAAGATTAAAAGAGAATTGAGGTTTCTCTGGTACTCTCAATGAGAACTGACTCCACTGAGTTTGACTTAACAGAAAATTTCAAAAGCATCACCAACAACTTGCTTTAATCAGTAATTGTATTAGCATATGAGTTGAAATGAAGCAATATTCAACAAGTAAAATTTCCCATCATTTTTCAATGATGCAAAATGTTACTTTGAGTTCAACAGTTTTCTCAAATGTTTGGAAGAGCTTGTGTCTACCAAACATGACTCCTTGGTACGTTAATGCGAATGTATGGAACTGGAGGAGATGGAGGAAGAGTGGATGGTCAGAGCAAGCTACTCACTAGATGAATCACATCTGAAATGCCCACTGCCAAAGCCTAAGCACTGGCACGTGAGTTTAAAACCAGTTTCAGATATTCGCTCCCATTCGTCTCCAATGTCATAATGGGAAGCCGAGTAGGGGTCATAGCAGGTGTCATCAATAGGTTGGTTTGGGCCTATGAGCAAAAGGAAGAAAAAGCAAAAGAGACATATTATTGGTGGTTTGGAAGAAGAAGAAACCAGAACATTATATACAATGACTTAATCTAACAGAAAAATTCCGGTAGCTCTAAAATTCCATCTGTTCCATGGATGCATCAGCCAGTCTCATAAGTGAGGTAAAGGTGTAGCCAATGGACACTTGCCACCAGCATCTGAAAAGGAGCCCATCTTTCACTTTTGTCTTTAATTGTAAAAATGATCATTCTGGTAAATCTACTTTATAGAACATGGAATGGACCTTGAGGCAATTTAAGCTAGGTAAGAACAAGGGTAGCAATGCCTCTCCATCAGGACCTGAGTGACCTTGAGCTAATTATTTAGCATCTCTCTCACGAGGCCAAGAAGCCAACGCATTGTCCCTTTGCCAACCTGTAGAAAGTGCTCACTAAACTAAGAAATATTATTAGAGGCTACCTTCTGCTTATAATGCAAAGGTCTTAGCATTTTTATATACTGTTATAATGCAGTCTTCACTTTTATTATTGCATCTTTTTTGCATAATAGTTTGCAAAATAGTTATTATGATAGTAAAACTGATTTTATTAATAAAAACCAACTGTTTCAAATAGGAGAAATCAAATGGGAAGTACATGAGTTAGGAATAAGCAACAGTCTCATCATGTGACCTAAGATCTTGTCTCTTTATGTTTTAGAAAAACTTGTTTTAAAATAATTTGTGTAAGCCAGGCATGCTGGGTACACACCTGGAATCCCAGCGACTCAAGAGGCTGAGGTAGAAGGATTGAAAGTTTATGGCCAGCCTCAGAAAAATAGCAAGGCCCTCTCTTAAAATAAAAAATAAAAAGGGCTGGGGATGTGGCTCAGTGGTTGAATGCCCCTGAGTTCAGTTCCTGATATCAATAAATAGATAGATAGATAGATAGATAGATAAACAATCTGCAAATAAAGCATGCCTCAAGTTATTCTCTGAAAACTGAATATGATAACTTACTGTGACTTTAAATCTCACTGTGTGTGTGTATTTTTTTAACAGTGTAAAATCAAATCCAGTAGATATTGGAAGGGCCTAATATTTCAAAAGGCATCACTCTGGAAGGAAATATATTTTAGAGAGCTAAAAAGTCTGAAATGTCTCAAAGTCAAGAGACCCTGGCTATCATGAAGAACACTACTACTAGGAATAAGAAGTAGGAAAGAAAAACAGAAAGAACTTAAGACTATTAAATGGGGTTTCACTATTCCAAAAATATTCAGGAGTTAAAATTCTACTGTAACTAATGTTATGGAGATAGAATCTTTTACAGAAAAAAAAAAAGATATGGAAAAGCACAAAAACCTTTATGCTCTCAAAAATTCCTTTCACACAACAATTTTGCCATTAAAACCACAAAATGCAATACCTAACAACAAACACAAAAGAACCTCCCCACAGCCTGCCAGCAGTTAGCTGCTATAATTCTCCAAAATTTACACATGTAAAACAGTAGTCTTTTGTCAGATGAAGAAGGCGGCTGAAATTACATAACTGGACCCTAGGATGAAATTCTGTCACATGGCATAGACAGGAGTTACCACTCCTTGTTGAAGTGGAGAGGAGACCCTTCCAGTGGGACGATTCAGGATTCATGATTTTGATTGTTTCCTATCTCATTTTTCTGGGTGAATATCATCAGCTGCTGCAAAGTAAAAGCCAGGTGGCATGCTACTGGCTTGAAAGGACTTGCAAGGTGCTACAAAGAAGAGTCAGTGGTTGCCGGGCACAGTGGCACATGCCTGAAAACTCAAGCTACTTGGGAGGCTAAGGTAGGCCAGCTTCAGCAATTTAGCAAGGTCCTAAGCAACTTAGCAAGCTCCTATCTCAAAATAAAAAATAAAAAGGGCTGGGGATGTAACTCAGTAGTTAAGCACCCCTGGGTTCAATCCCCAATACCCGTCCCCACCCCATAATAAAGTCAATGGTCATTTAACCCTTATGAAGGTTTTACACCTATATCACCAGGAGAAAAAAAGTGAAATAACTTTAGAATAAGGAAGCTCTTTGGATAAAGATGCGTTGCAAAGGAGAACTTCCCATTAGTTTTGGTACTAAGAATCACTCTAGGGGACCACAGCATGGTGAGAAGGAAGGGATATGGGAAAGTATACCAGGAAACCAGAGCCTCAGATCAACTCAAGACACTGGGAAGTTCAACACTTTTGGGCTAAATAACTGAAGCCCTTCCCAGGCCTGTCATCCTAACACTGCATGTGTGTTGGTGAGCACACTTAAAGTTAAATGAACTTCAGGTTGCTCATTTACTTCATATTGATGGTAGGCATACTTCCCACAGTGCAAAGGCAACAAGCAACAAAGGAACAGGCACTAGGAAAAGCCTTCTCTGGTGCAGTCCAACAAGGAGCGTGTGCCTAAACCACACGCGAATTTACATACCAGGGTTGCCCACAGTCACAACCTCCTCCAGAACCTTGTGCCTCTTCAGGTTTTTCATTGCCTCCACTAGGATGTTGTAGGTGGCCCCTCGGGTAAGGCCTGTCAGAGTGGCACTGGTGGAAGTTCCAGGAACTCGGAACTGCAATTATTGGTACAGCCAAAATGGGGAGAGAGCATTATAGTAAAGAACAGATGCGGGCTCCCCTGGTCCCTTATCATTAACCCTCACTGTTTAAACAAATCAAAGGGAAACTAATAAAGACCAGGGGTATACAGGAGTCCCAACTGGCCAGGGAGAGAAATGGAATGAGCAAGGAACAGTCACTTCTCTCAGATTTTCCTACCCAAAGTCTGCCTATGTGCTCCATAGTTAGCAGGAGCCCTCGACGACACTAGCTGCCTCTTAATCCTACTAGATGTGGCTCTGTAGAAGCCCATGGAAGCCCTGCATGATCCTTTCACATCAAGCACAGACACTGCTCTCTGTGGAGACAGGCAGGCCATGCACAGTAAGCAGTAGACCACAATGCAATACAGAGTCCTTAAAACAATGGCACATCCTCAAACTCAGGTTTCTAAGCTCAGGAATCTCCCACAACATAGTCATTTTTAAAAACTGTGCCAGTGTGACAAATTAAAGGATGGGGTTTTAGTAAGAGAATCGGTGACTTCTAACAGCTGACATGCACAGCTCCTCCTACATTCTTTTTCCTTGTACGTACTACAGATAATGGGATTCTTCAAGGACAAACTAAGAATGGTGCACAAATGTAAATTCAGTGGAATATCTTTCTTCTTTTCGAAGATCATCTCTTTGTTCATCTTACTATGGAGCCTCCAATGTGTGAGGATAATACAAATGATTTCATTCTCTACTGAATAAAAGCTAATGACACTCTCTGGTACATCCTCCCAAGTAGAGCCATCTGGACTTTTAATAAATGATCAGTGCTTAAATGTGCCATCTCTCTAAAAGTCCTAGAAGTAGCCATTTTACATCAGAGCCTCTTAATCCTCCTAGTAAGAAGCCCATGGGAATTGATAACCATTACCAATTAATAACCATTATCAATTCAGGCAATGAAGACTGTTTATCAACCTGATCAAAGCCCCTGGGGAAATCAGCAATTCTCAGATTACAAAACACTTTCCCAGAAGGAAAAGTCTGTCACTTCTTTCCTCTAATTTATTCCTTTCTGAGCTTCCCAGCCACAGGCAGGGAGGGAGCTGATTACCTGTAAGGGTTCTTCTGTCGTGCCAATGGGCTGACATGAAATGATATACTCAGAACTGTCCTGGAACGGGGTCCAAGAGATGGTTGTCTGAGAGAGAACTTCTTGTCCTGTAGAGGCATTTGGATTGAGCTCCGTAATGTGAGGGTAGAGGTGGTAGTCTACTTCTCCCCTGGGGACATGAATCTCATCTATTGTCGGCGAGTATGGTCTTGGCCTATGCCTTACGGGGGTGACCGCTGTGGGTGGTGTGGTCCTCCTAAAACCATGTTCCTCAATGACCATTTGTTGCCCCAAACTGGGCTGCCGATGGCTTGTGCCAGGAAGCTGAATACCGTTTCCATTGTCAACCCCAGGGCTGGTGATGAATGGGGTCTTTGGAACTGTGGAGGGAACATCCAAGATCTCTGGTCCTTGAAGATTGGGGTGAGGAAGGGTTACCAGTTGGGGAAGCTCATCTAGCCAAGAGAGGTTAGAGCAAAAAAAGCAAAGCGCGTTAAGTTTCAGTAAGTAGCAACCATTATCAATTGAGGCAATGAAGATTGTTTATCAACTTGATCAAAGCCCCTGGAAAACCAGCAGTTCTCAGATTACAAAAAACCCCACTTTTTCCCAGAAAGAAAACTTTATGATTTTTCTCAAAGGTTTCTTTATAGTTTAGAAAGAAAAAAAGTGTTAGCATGAATTTATTAGAGACACAAAGCTTTGAACCACTGAGCGCCATTGAAGCTGCCTCTGTTCAAATTAAGCCTAATGAAACTGCAATGGGTAGTGCCTCCCCACCCCATTCTCTTCTCTCTTTAAACCTGAGAAACAAATTATAGGAACTAGAATCCACAGCGATCATGTCAGTATCAGAAGTATGAGAATTACAGAGGTTTAAATCAGAAGTATAAGAATTACAGAGGTTTAAATCAATAGTTTTCATGGTTGGAAATGGTAAAAATAGGTAAGAACACATATTTGTTTTTAAAGCTTTCCTAATGCCATATGTATAGCACTTTCTCCAAATTCAACTAAAACCGAATGACAAAGTAAAACATTATTTAGTTCCAAGTTTCAGAATTCAAATAATATGACAATGGGAGGGGTTTCTATCCCTCCTTTTTTAAAAAAAAAAATAGTCAACACAAAGTATAAAAGAATAGCAAATTACAACTTGGTTTTATATTTCATATCGGATTTGAATTTTTGAAAGGTAATAACAAGGTTTTATATTGACTGGCCTTTTAGTAAAGAAATAAATAAAATGGAACTCTACAGAGGATGTTCAGTTATTCCTCCTGTCAGAGAGTACAAAATATACTCTGGGCCATTAGAAAAGCATCCATGAGATACGCATCAAAACATGGAGACCCTTTTCACAATGCAAAATCCATCATTCATTAGTTTGGTCTTAACGTTCCTCTCATTACCCGGAAAGTGCTTTTTACCTGTCTTTTTCCTCCCAATCAGGGGCTCACTCTTCTGGTTGTTCTTCAGGGCAATGATGTAGATTGTGTACTCGGTTCCTGGTTCTAGGCCTGATGGGTAGAATAGAATGTCATGTCATATGGGGGGCTCAGCCACTCCAGCAGGAGTCAGTCCCAGCAGCTGAGGCTCCTGGGGAGCAAGCATCCCTTGCTAGTCAGCCCTTGACCTCTTAAATGGTAAAACTAGTACTTATGCCCCATTCCAGGCATTCTCTCCAATGTGGGTGGTTGGGGTGGCTCTGCCTCCAGACCTACTCTGTGGTACACAGCAGTTAGGCAAGTCCTGCAAGATTACCAGAGCTATAGGGAGCTGAATGTGATGGCAGGATCACACTTAGTTTACTTTGAAAAACATCATTTTCTAGCACTGAACTGACAGATAAGCTTACAGCAAAACAGAACAAAAACAAACAAACCAAAAATCCCCAAATCTAGTTATGCCACTAACAGTATTAAAACTTGCATTTTCATGAACTAGTGCCTTTTGAGATATATTGAGTTCTCCTGGTACTGTGTGGAGAATGCCTTTTGAAGTGCAGGGCTTCCCTTTCTCATGATATAGCATCAAAGATACAGATGGAGTTTCAAGACTTAGACTGACGGAGGGAGTAAAGAGGAAAGGGAGGGAGCACAATACCAGTAATAGTGGCCTCTGTGACACCAGGTTGGGGCCGAGGGACCACTTCTCTGGGAGGGGACCCAGGCTTCTCATATTTGATGATGTAGCCAGTGATCTTGGCACGGGGCGGCTGCCATGCTACCAGCAAGGAGTTGGGGGTGGTGGTCAGGAAGCGCAGGTTAGATGGTGCATCAATGGCTAAAAGAAAACAAAACTGTCTCAGAAAATAAAAGCCAAGAAAATGTTCCCATATTCCCCCCAGCCCTTTTAATCAGACTTAAGAGAGTGAAATTCTGTAAGCTCCTCCCATGGTTCACAGGGAGTCATATTACAAAGACCCTTCATTTGTTTCTTAAGTTCATGTGTCTGATGATACTACAAGCCAGTGGTGTCCCTCAGCACAAAGCAGTTACCAGTGGAGGCATCGATGACCACGGGGGAGCTGTGGGCATTGTCGTTCAGGGTATACAGGTAGATCTTGTAGTCCGTGCCGGGTTGCAAACCTGGGATATGAGAGGAGATGGTTTTTATGTGTTCTTCTTTACTAGGAAACTTTTCAAGCTCACACCTGCAATTTTCTTGGCTCATCTACCCACCCATGTTTATGCAGACCACGGGAGTGGTCTACCTTTGAACAATAAAGTAGAACATGGTGTGGATATTAACTGTTATTGTGGAGCATACTTAAAAGCAAATCACTAATGCAGAGAAGGACACCGACTAAAATAAATTTTTAAATGCAAAAACGCTATTTTAGRAGCAGTCCTCTTGGAGAATGAGGGGTGGCCCACTGAGTGTACTTTCTCTATAGGGTAATTAGGTGGTCATTATTTGGTACCCGGAATCAGAATTGTACAGCACAAAAAGACCTAAATTGATCTATTTTATCAAATTCCCTCTGAACTTTAACCTTTATTAAGTAATGTTGTTTGTCTTTATTAATTATGTCTTTTTAAAATCTATATTAATGCTAAGAACTATACCCCACCATTTCATTTTTTTCTTTTCTATTTTCATTTTTTTGTGCTTCTGGGGATGGAAGCCAGAGCTTCACCAAGTGCTTTACCATTGAACCGCATCCTCAGACCCTATTTCTTTTGGTTTTACATTATTTTACTTTAAAAAAAAAAAATAAGAAAGGGCATAGGGATGAAAGAACAAATCTGATAAAAAGCCATTTCTCTGAGACCACACACTAGACCAAAATCAGAAATTCAAAGGACAAAACTATTTTTGATTATGGTATGAGAATAACTGTTTCAAGCTGTGTTATCATAAAATATTGGAAATAAATTGAATCATGTAAGTCACAGAATAACTAAGAAGCTGGTTTACATTGTGAATGTTGATTGATTGTCACTTGTGGTGATGGTGGTGGGTACCCTCACCTGTGATGGTATAGCTTCTGACATCTGGGCCGATGGTTCTCTGAACTGGCGTCTGGCCATTGGCTGGGACGGCATCAACTTGGAAACCAGTGATCGTCTCGGTCTTGGTTCGCCAGTTAATGGTGATGGTGGTCTCAGTAGCGTCTGTCACACGAGCCCTTCTGGGAGGGCTGACATCTGCATGGGATTATAGCTAGAGATTAGTGCCTGCCTGGCTCATATAGGTGAGATTTCAATCTTTTAAAACATTTATTTATGTTTTAAAAATACATCCTCTTCAGAAAATACATTGATTAAATAATTTGTAGATTATCTCCCTTGGCATTCAAAGAACGTTCAACAGTAATTAGGAAATATGGAAATAGTTACATTGGGTGCTTTTTTCTTTGAAGAACTGAAAAGCTTTATAAATACTACCAGTGGTTCCTAGGTCTGACTTTATAGTACCTACAAATACTTCAGTAAGTATTAAAATGATTAATTTACTGTACTGTAAAAGTGTGTGGTAGGAATTATAATAGCATGGCCAGCTAGCAATTATATGTATATATAGCCAGTATTATTGCTAGTATTTCGTCGTTTTTATAGGGCTTCATATCTTTTCTCTCAACAGAAAAGATTTCTATTTTATCTCTATTTTATAGATGATGGAACTTTTGACACTTTATTTGACAGCTGAAAGAGCACGCAGCAAGTTATTGATGGACCAGAAACTAAAATCTGGGCCAAATTTGATCCCACACTTATGGTGCTGTTAAGATACAGCAGAAGTCAACATGTCCTCCCCAGACCTAACTCCAGGAAAACAAATTCTAACAAGTGGAGCATAAAGTAGCTGTTAGTCCTAATCTATAACACCAATGTTATACCATTATGAAAGGATTTCATTTCCAGATTGGGACTCATTCCACTTTTAACTTAGTGACCAGAGAGATCATTTATCATTCTTTGTTTATGCAGAAAATTTTTTGAGACTCGAAAATTGGATTACTTACTCTCAAGAGTGGTGATGATCCCCTGAGCTGGTCTGCTGGTCAGTGTGTCCTTAAGAGCATAGACACTCACTTCATATTTGGTAGCCACCTAGAAATAAGGGCATGGTGCGCCTTAGCAGTGTCATTGCAAGAAGCCCCGGGAGTTTCACGATGGCTTAGATAATTCAGTGGTTATTAGTAAAAAAGAAATAGACTAACAAATCCCACAACACTGTCAATTCTTAGATTAATTTCATCTCTATACTACAGATGACCAGCAAAAGACTGAAATTAAATGAATTTTAAAATGCTTTTATGGGCTTATGCCCAAGTAAGCTATAACTCACATTTTCATGTAAAACTGGTGATGAAAAAATAAGAAAATGGGTAAGAGCCTGTTTTTTTTTTCTTTTATGATATGACAGGTGTAAATCATGAATTTTTATGGTCATAGACAAAGATAATTTTCTTTTCTGTCTCTGAAACTTCTTTCTGTAGTTTCCCTGTAACTGGTCTTAAGATATACATTAATTCTCTGGTATTCTAGCTAGTTTTCCATATACATGTCTAGAAGGATTTAAAAATTTTTAATGAGGGTATGGTCAAATTGATTGGTATAATCTTGAGAACATTTCTTGCCAAGATGACATTGCTCAAAAATATATATAACTAAATGAATTTATGTACTTAGCCTATCGATACGCAAATTGCCCCCCACATATATAGAATACTTCCAAAAGAGCTGCACAAAATCCAAAGCTATTTACAAAATTCTGTTCCAATAGTCATCTGGAAAAGCTTAGGTCAACAAAAAGCAATTCTCTTGATACAAAAATCACAATGAAATTATTTGATAGGAGAGGAAAATATCAGTTGGATCGAGCATGAGATTATGTTTCTACCATCTAATAAAATATGTAAGAGAGGCTCTACTTTATTCCAATGACAGAAGTCATTTCTTACCATGAGTCCTGATACAACCACAGAGGTGCTGTCAGGAGCGAGGTTGATTTCCTTCATTGGTCCGGTCTTCTTGTCTTTGGGGGTCACTCGTATCCGATATCCAGTGAGCTGGACATTGGGTGGTGTCCACTGGGCACTAAAGCTTGTTGGTGTAATCTGAGTGAACCTCAGGTTGGTTGGAGCAGGGATGGCTGTTGGGATGGTCATTGGTCAAAGGTTATCTTACAGGAAGTGGGGAGAAGGGAACATAGAGTGAATTCCAGGAGGTAGAAGGGATAGCTCTTGTGGGATTAGAGGATTCCCTGGTCCAGAAAAGATTCAGTAGGAGAGCGTAACAAGAAGGGATACAAAAGGAAAAAAGTTTACTGAAATGTGTGTTCTCTATCTGCCAATTCTCAAATCCTGAAAACACTTTAAATACTTGAGCTCTAGGAAACTTTGGTTTTCCAAAGTTATTTGTTTTTCCATAAAAAACAAAAGAGTCAAATTGGCTTATTGGTCATTACAATTGATTTTCCATTTGTATGAAAAGAACAATGGCCCTTTTTCTATATAAATTATGTTCATATGGAAAACCATTCACAGTATTCCATCCAAAAAAAGATAGAATTATGTTTCTATTGTCTCTTTTTATTTGGACCCCAAGGCAGATGTAACTGCTAAATTTAAAGTATTTCTGTGGTGCGACATAAGAAGAAAATTAGATCATAATAGAAGCAGAAAAGAGAAGCAAAGAGCAGTAATCAGATTGTCACTGCTAAGGTTTATACCATCACCAGGACAAATTTTTAGCATTCCACTCTGATTCAGCAATAAAGCACAAGAGGATAAAGAATTGTGGAAAGAATTTGCCTTAATGACTGTTTCCTGTGTGTCTGAATCAGAATCCTTTAAGCAAATTATACACAAGCATAAGCCATCTTGCCAGGGGAGAAAGGTCTTACCCATGTGCTCTCAGAATCATGCTGCTATAAAACGTCCTAGTTGGGATCTTTTCTTAGAGGAAACTCTAGGATGCCAAACTGCTTTCCTTTGTACATAGTGTGAGAGTAACCACAGGGAGTCATAGCTTAGGAAATATCCACAATTTTAGTATCATCTTTAGATGTCTGGTTTCATGGCCTTATGTATAAGCCAAGCTACTCCAATATTTCTTTACATCAGATTTATTTACCTAATACCACTAAAATTGATTTTCCTCTTTCCTCTTTAAAGAGGGTCTTTTCTAAAGAGGGTTGTTTATTTTATTTATTTATTATTTACCCCTTACATGGGAATGAATAGCCCGATAAAGTAGACTTTCAGCAAGGCTTAAAGCCACTGCTCCCATGAGCACCCTGGTGGTGCGATTACCAAGATACCTGTGGACTGGGTTCCAATCAGGGGCTGGCTCTCCATATCATCGTGCAAGGCAACCACACTGACTGTGTACTCAGAACCCGGCCTGAGGCCTTGCAGCTCTGCAGTGTCTTCTTCACCATCAGGTGCAGGGAATAGCTCATGGATTCCATCCTCAGGGCTTGAGTAGGTCACCCTGTACCTGGAAACTTGCCCCTGTGGGCTTTCCCAAGCAATTTTGATGGAATCGACATCCACATCAGTGAATGCCAGTCCTTTAGGGCGATCAATGTCTGTTAGGCAAATTAATGGTAAGAGGTCATGTGAAAAGCAAGTTGTGAAATAAGCATTTTTATAACATGCAAAGCAGTTTTGCAGATACCATTTTCTTTGATGAATTACACTGCAATTAACCCACTAGTCAATGGAAAATTACTTGACACTTGCCTAAAATTGTTTTGGTTTAGAAAATATCTGATGTTGCATAACTTATCAAAATAAGGTGTACATGAGATGCGTAGGCACCCTGCAAATGTCCCCACGTTGGGGATATACTTGCATTGATTTATAGATGTTCCACTAAGATTTGTTTTGCAATGTGATGTTAGTCTCATAGACCTGGATTTTCTATGCCTTGGAAGTGGTAATGTTGATTTTCAATGTTACATTCAGATCAGATCGCTATAAGCTTTCTTAAACTCTTTCTTTTTTTCTTATTAAGTATTCATATGAAATGTTTTTCCAGCCACAGTCCTCCAAAAATGGTAACTTCATGATGTATACTTTATTCAACTTTACCATCCAGTCATAGAAAAGAAGGTCCTAGCAAAATATTTTGTAGATTTGCTATAGGCAAATAAGATTTTGCTGAGGCCACTGGAGCAAAAGGAATTCAAAGCACAGCAATTCACTATGGTAGTTCCGCAACTTCTTTCCTGTAAGTTCACTACTTGGCAGGAAGAAAGAAAAATGTTTGTCAAGGACTCAGCTCAAGATACAAACTAAACAATAAGCTGGTTCTACCTCTGTATAAAATGCAAAAGACATGCAGAGGGCATTCAGACCCAAGAATAAAATTTGACTTTAGAAAAGGAAACCACACATTTGTTACGTACTGGTTACTGCAGTTTGAACCAGGGGCTGGCTTTCTCCTTTTCCATTCTGAGCATAAACACTAACCACATACTCCACTGTGGGCTGCAAGCCTTCAATGGTCATTTCTGTTTGATCTGCAAGGGGAGTGAAAAGCAAATGTAGCATCTATGCACTATAAAGCCATCCAAGAGACTTCTGGAGTTTGATAATAAGCATGTGCGGTCTTGAATTTTTAGTTGCAGAATTGTCATGAAAATATCGAGGAGTTAGATATCAATTTCCTCTTGGACACACCTGTTTATTGCTAATACAATTTCCCATGTTTGAATAAAATCACATTCAAGGAGAAGTCAAAAACTTAATAAGATGCCCTCAACAATGAATGATGATGGTGCTCTTGGAGAAAGGAAGAAAGAAAATTAACTTGATTTTGAGGTTGCTTTGAGATCCTATTTTCACAAATATTTCATATAAAAATAAAAACAACAGATCTACAAGAAATCTGAAAAAGTCAGTTATTCTTCTTGGTGTGCATACCAACAAAACCACAAAGATGGATCTGGTAATTTAAGAGGCCCATGTCACTAAACAGAACCATGCATGTAAAACCAGAAATGTGTGTATCCTAAAACTGCTACTGTGAAGTGAGTTGGAAATGATCTTGAGTCCTGAGCTCATGAATGGGAAACCATGACATATGGCATGAAATGTATGGTCCCCGTGACAAGGTGGCCATCTAGTAAAGAAGGAAAATCATGTTGTCCTACTCTGTTGATCCTGCTGTATGTGACAAGAGGGTTGTTCTTACCTGGACCTGCAGTTCTAGTTTGTGATGGTCCTTTGCCCGTTTTGGGAATGGTGGTCACTCTGTAACCAGTAATTGGAGAACTTGAAGGCAGCCACCTGACACTAATGCTGTTATCCTTAACATCAGTCACTTGCATCTGGGATGGCTTGTCAATTTCTACAAATAAAAGTAAAAAAGAAACCCGTTCAGGCCCAGTCCTGGGGGACAAGACTAGAAAAATCCTTATCTTTGGTTCTGGTACATATTCAAAGATCTCTTATTCCTATTAACCTTTCCCAGGTGTTTCTTTTGCAAGAATAAAGAGATAGCTTTGAGGGGTGGGGTGTGCATTACAAATGTTTTCAAGATGATGGCTTCATTCACAAAGAAGCTACACCCCAGGTAGGTGTTTGTCTTCCTATCTTATCAATACATTCATTTCTTTCTCAACAAATATTTATTGAATATTCTCTTTCTGCCTATTTCTTGCAGGAGGCACATGATATATTTCAATTAACAACACATTTTAAAAAATCTGTGCTCTTGAAGTCGTTCCTTGTATATTTGCCTTATAATGTTAACTAACGATTTTGTCTTATTAAAAAGAAAGACCAGGGTTGGGGGTTATAGCTCAGTAGTAGGGCGCTTTTTTAGCATGTAGAAGGTACTGACTTTGATCCCCAGCAAAAAAAAAAAAAAAAAAATAGAAAAAAAAAAGAAGAAGAAAGAAAGGAAATCAAGTTCACAGTGAGGAAAATATATTGGGAGAACATTGTAAAAGTTATCTGAATATATAATCCTGTGTTGTTCCAGAAAAGAACTTTGTACCTGTTCGATAGTCAATGGAAATTGGCTTGCTGCTGGCTGGGCTGTCCCCACGGCCAGTGACAGCATACACTGTGATGGTGTAATCTACTCCAGGTTTCAGGTCGCTGATGGTAGCTGTGGACTTGCTCCCAGGGACAGTGAACTCCTGAACAGGGCTTGTTCCTCCTGCGTGAAAAGGGGTTAGTCCATAATGTGAGGGGCTTGGAGTTACTTGGGCATTACTGATTAATTAACATATTAAAAGCAGTATGTAAATCACATTTTATTACTTATTCCCCTTTAAAGAGTGTTATTAATAAATCCTGGACAGGAAGGTGTATTTATACACATACTAAACCTTGATAAGTATATAAAATAGGGAGAAAATTGCAATTAACGTTATTTTAACATTCTAACTTTGAAATGTTACTAAGCTGTAGATTAATATTAAAAGGGAGGAGAGGTAAGCCCTCACTCAAACTAGGATTGCATGTCCTTCATCCTTTTAAAATTTTCTCATGGAATGTTTTTATGCTAAAAATTAGAGAATATAGAAAAGTAAAATGAAGAAAAAGTTAAAAATCATATTTTACCAGTGATAATATATTTGTAAACTGACAATCATTTTTTCCTCAATTCTGCTATTTTTCCTCTAGTTGTATTGTATAAACAACTTTTTCTCTTGATTTTATAACCAACTATATCATATGCAGAGTCCAGGTATTCTTGGAATAGACAAGTGTCTGCAAGCGCACTGCCAAAATTAATTTTATGTCCATTTTGAGCTTTTGGGTTCTTCACAGCAGATTTTGGTCTGCTTAAGAATGTGAAGCACCAAGTAGCCAACATACCTGTTTCTCCATAGGTGATCCTATAATATCTCACTGTGACAGCAGGGGCTTCCCAGCTGATCAGTACACTGGTGGGGGTGGAGGCAATGACTTCCAGGTCCCTTGGGACATCAGAAACTAGAAAATACGAGGGACAAATCTTCACATCCGTAACTTTCAAATGATAATTGGATTCTCTTTGCTCATTTTCCAGGTCATCGTTTTTAGGTTTCTTTCATACAAAAATGTAAATACCGTATGAAATTAGTAGAACTAAAAGTTCTGAACAATTCAAGGAAAGCGGTTAAGAGACTATTCAATTTGTGATAAAATGATTGTTTCAAATTTATTGAAGGATTTTGTTCCCTCCACTTTTTATTTTGGTAAGACCATAGAAAAGTCACAAAAATAATAACAATGAATAGCCACCTATCCTCCTCTTAAGTGTGTACTGTTTGGAAACATTTGCACCATTTGCTTCTCGCTTAACATTAATAACCTAAAATGATTCACATCATTTCAGACTAAGATAGAGACATCAAGATGACACTTCTCCCCTAAGTGCTTCAGCATCTATCTTCCAAGATTAATGGCACTATTATACTAAAATTATATTTTTAAGAGAACTTTGAAATGGTTTTCTGGATTTTAAATAAAACTTTAGTAATTATAAACATATAAATATCTAAATCAGGTGAGAAATTTCTTGGGATAAAGAAATTATTTTCTTCACTATATTCTAAGAGGGAGATTTTCCTCCACACATTCTCTCACTGGCCTCTCTGTGTCTCTAACCATGATCTATTTTGGGGGGAGAGGATGACTCTGCTGACATAAAGCTAAGCTATTTCATAGACTGTACCGACTGTATAGGAAAGTCTGGGTTTCTCTGAAGAACAGACGACAAGTTACCTGTTGACTGTTGGCCAATCAAGGGGGAACTCTCCTCTCTGCCATAAAGAGCAACAATGCTGACCACATATTCTGTGCCTGGATTGAGGTTGGTGAGGGTGATGGAATTCCGAGAGGGGGGCACTCTATCTTCTCGGGGTCTCCCGGCACTATGCTCAGGATGATGGCGAATCCAGTAGCCGGTGATGGCAGCTCGAGGAGCAATCCAGTGGACGGTGAAAGAGTTGGGAGTGATGTCAGAAAAGTCAATGCCAGATGGGGAATCAAGACCTATATTTTCCACCCATGAGAATAAGAGGGGAAGAAAAAAGACAATACCATGAGCTTAACATGTGAGGAAGGTGGGGGGGAGTTACATCCATCCAACTTTCTATCATTTCTCATCCATGTAGTGAAGTGCCCTGAACCTCAGGTTATGAGGCACTGATTCAAAGCCACAGATGAATTTCAAAATCATATATTCGCAGTTCAAAATTGCCAATTCATGCATTTTTTTCTTTCTCTAAGCAATCCCTGTGATGTATACATATCATCACAGTGGTCTCTGTATCACATTTGAAGACCAGTGTTTAAGATACTGTGGGAAGTAATATTTTCAAGTGTTTCAGTGTTCAAATAGTCCAGTTCCATCCTGTATCTCTCAAAGTAAGACAAGGTCTGCCCACTGTCAAGTTAAAGAAGCTACCAAAGAAGCTTTCTGTGCCCAAGAAGAGACTAATATGTCAACCGAGTTAGTGGTGATGATGCTGGACATAAAACTTTCTAAAACTGAAGACATTATCCTGGACAGATCCAATGCAGGTAATCCTTTATGAATTGAGAACTTTTGAAAATTAATAAGAATTCAGTGTTCATCTCAGGTTCAAATTATTTAACCCTTCTGGGACTTCCAGCAAATTTTTGTTTGAGTTGAAATATTCACTAATCTTATTTAATAATATACTCAAACAAAATTGTGATATATCAACTTCCTTTTGGGAAGTCCTTTTTGGACTATGAAGTAATAAACACACTAAAATAGGCTTTTTAAGGGAAAACAATTAAAAGCATTCATATTTAAGAAAAAATATACTATCTAATGAAAAGAAATGTCCAGCAACTCTAAAATAATAGAGATTATGAGATATTCTTCTTGGGAGTTTCATTTTGTTGTTTCGTTTTTGTTTTTCTGTGTTTTAAAGCATAGACAGCAAAGTTTCTGAACTAATTTCAGTCTACTGTGGAAGCAGAAGTAGAATGTTACTGACTGAACTGCTAATTATAAATTACTAATTGTTGAGTGAGATGTCTTTTAATTTTCAAGACCAGTGAAGAAAAAGTAATGACAAGGCTGCCCACACCACCATCACCACAAAAGAYGAGGTGTATATTTAGAAGTAGTGTTTCATTTTGTTTTTTAAAATTGGTAGGCAAGAGCTACTTGATAAGCATGTTGCTCCAAGACTCACGTGTTTTCTGTCTTCCTTTAAGAGGTATGCTCTCGTGGTGTTCGTAGACACTGGAAACACTGACTAAATATTCGGTCCCAGGCAGGAGGTCTGGGGAGGCAAGTGAGACTCATTTTACACTTGTGCTTGAAGGTAGGAAAAACCAGAGTACTCCTGAGACTATTTCAACTGATACCATATATTAGCATTCAGTCCTGCAGCCTACTTACACCTACGTGAACATGGATACCTGGAGATGGTCTGTAAGCAGGTGATGATGAAGGGTCACCTTGCCCTGAGTCCTCTCTAAGCCCTGTCCTAAGTTCTTCCTGTTTATGACTTAGTTCTATCTGTACCTGACAGTGTGACCACTGGGAGCACAGGAGACAACTGCTATGGCACTGTGGGTGATCACTAATCCCTCCCCAAGACTCTACAGGGTGGTTCACTATTTTCTAAAGCAGTTTTATAATGATACAATATACTGCAAATATTAATATGTGCAGTTTGACAAGTTTTGACATGTATTTAACTTACGGACCCTTTACTACATTCAACATAAAAAAAACATAACCAGTACCTCTGGACGTTTGGTTGGTGACAACCGCCCCCATTTTACAAAGAAGAAAGCTGAGGCAAACAGAAATGATCATTTTTAAATGACTTGCCCAGGATGATTCAGTGGTTGACCCAGGTCGGGACCAATGGTCTTAACAATGAAGCTTTATTGGAAAAGGGTCATGTGATAAAGGGATAGCAATCAATTGAGCCATATTAATATATTTTAAAAGTTTAGCCTACATCCATGAGTGACCCTTTCTCCCATTTTGATATAGCCAAAGGGTACAGAGGAAGCTTTCCAACCTTTGAACTTCTGCTCACTAGACCCTCATTCCTCTATATACTGTTGGCTCTTCAGTCTTTCTGCAGAGGGTCCTGCAAGGTTTGGAAAAGAACCAGAGGGGAGGGCTGGATGCCGGAACTTCACATCTTCCTTCCTAGTTGGCCAGAGGCAATGTAACTTAACAACTGGGATCTCAGTTGTTTCATCTTTAAAACAGGATAATAATAATTCTCTAAGGGGGAAATGGCTACCTTGAGGTCACAGCATTAGGACCAGAAGGTCTTAACACATGAACATGTAACAGGTATTGGTTGAGCAGGAACCAACATGCAATGCAGGGTTTAGTGTATATCAGGTCATGCAGTCACCACTGATTCCAGAATGCTCTACAACAAAAATAGTGCTGTGGACGCTATCATGCAAATATAAGGATGTTCTCTGTCACCGGCCAGCAAGTAAGAAATCAAGATCATGGTCACACATAGCTGCCTTTCTTTGTGTTTTGCTTTCTAGAACATGTTGGAAAGGAAGAGGATGTTTTCAGACCATCATTTAGGAATGTCCCTAAATGTAAGCCATTTCTGCTTATGTGGAATCTTTGATGTTCTCACACATTGTACCACAATAGTGAAATATAATAAGAAATGTTTATGTGAAACACAGCACCACATTGCAGCCTACTCTTATTTTCTTTAAAAAATATTCTGTTTCAAAATGGCAGGGACTAGAAAGAGACAATTTCCATAACTTGTTTAATGTCAGTTGTTTTCTAAGACCTCAGCCTTCTGAGAAATCCTGCTAACAGATGCTTTTTGAAGTACAAATTAAACTTCTGTCTTCACAATATCCTGATCTATCCCAAGCAATCAGTCACTGTTTTTAAATTTTCAAATGTTAAACAGATCATCTGCTGATACTTTAACAAGAAAAAATGACAACACAACATATATGGGGACACTATTTTCAATCCTCATTTTTTTCCTCTTCTAAACACTTATATTTAGTCAAATAATTTCTCTTGAAATTCACTTATTTTATGTGTTTAGTTGAAAGCAGAATGTGTTTGAAGTCTTGGAACATTACTTTTAGGGTTTTCCACTAAAGTTGTAGATATCAACAGTATATGGAGACAGCAATAAGCATTGCATCTTTCAGAATTTACAGAAGTGGACTTGGGACTTTAGTTTGGAGCTCGTCTGCAGCTCTTCTGCGTTATTTCTCTTTGAGAATTAATACATCTGCTCCAGGCTAGTGTTTATTCAACAGATGTACCCGACTGCTTACTTGTTAAGACCACTGCGTTGTCTGATGGAGAAATCGACAACTCTGCAACATCGTCCTCGTTTTTCACAGGTGAGTAGCGCACCAACAGGTTGCTCAGCTCAATAGATGAAGGGGGCGCCCAGGTGACACGCATAGTGTCTGGACCAACATTGGTGAATCTCAGGTCCGTGGGAGGAGGGACAGCTGGTTTCAAATAAAAAGGAAGATTATATTAATATGATTTTTTAAAGTCAAAGCTCACAAATCCACTGAAAAGGTAAAAAAAAAAATCAATGTTTCATGCATAAAGGAAACAGAGTCATAATCATGCAAATAGTYTAATCTAAATCTAAACTAAGTCATGGTAGACTACTGTTAAAAAATCAAACACTACATTCAGTACTGTTAGGCCCCTTTAACCTTTCTGCCATCATCGATGTGTTCTAAAGAATTATTTTAATCTACTTTTAAATAGGTTGATTTTTACATACATGATGAATACCACTTAAGATTCTTTTATCCCAGGCCAAAGAGGCTTAAGTTGCCACACAGCAAAAAGAAACATAGCGGGTACGTTCCAAAAAAAACCAAACATACATGCACACAGACAAAAGACAAGAAGGTCCTAAATGTCCCCCCGACATGAAATATCTATGATCTAATGGCATAGCCACAATTCCATTCAGTGAATTCTACTTACAAGTGAGAAGGGTTCATGCAAATTGGTTCTCAGCATGTTTCTTCCCATGCAGGGCAGAGAACCTTTAAGATGTTGCATGCTGGTCCCCAGACTGTGGTTAAAGAGGAGTTCCTTTACCTTATGATAGCAACAAAATCTAGCATATGCTGAAGTTTATTTTTCTTGTACATCAAAACAACCCTTTCTGTTCTACTGTAAATTTTGATGGCTTTTCAGTCAGCTACAAAGAAGAAACATGGTGGAGTTTATCCAGGGGTAGAAGGAAGAGTGTAATGGCATATTCTGGAAGTACCTTTCAGCATGAACTGGTGTTCATCCTAAAATTTGGTATTCACCTCTGGTACTCACCTCTGCTGCTTTGTATTTACTAGATCTGACATCTAGATTCCTCTAGTTTTATGCATACTTGCAGTTTAAAGGAAAGTGCACGTAAGACTCTTTGCATATGACTTCAATTAGTCAGGCATATGCTTTAGATTCCTTAGGCTCAATCCCTCCCATCTTCATCTATGTGGCCAATTGCTGGCTTCTCCCTTGAAACATCCATATTTAACCAGAGTGGCTGTTGGCAGCATGCAACACCATCCATGTGTCAAACACAGAAGTTTGTAAAATTCACCCGTTTGCTGTGTCAGTGTAGTAGGGGCACTCTCTCCGCCATTAATGAGAGTGATAACGCTGATGTCATAGTCAATGCCGGGTTCCAGCCCTGTAACTGTGTAGTATCCTACTGAGGAGTCCACAAAATCTTCAAAAATAGGGATCCCTTCTCCTGCTGCAACTACTGTGATGCGGTACCCAATAATGGTGGAAGAGTTTAGCGGGGTCCACCTCAGGCCGATGCTTGAATCGGTTATATCAACAAAGCTTAGGTCAGTGAGTTGGGGCACCTCTATTTAGTTACAAAGCGAAGAGGGGGCAACAGGAAAATAGAAGCAAAAAAAAAAAAAAAAAAGAGGAAAAAATAAAGCAGTGTATATCAGGTTATCCGTAGTCAAATTGATAGAATGGTAAAGCAATGATGGTAATATGCAATCAATTTCAAATGATCTGAAAAGATGTCCTAAGTATCATGAATAGTTTGCTTTCCTGGGAAAATAAAACAGGTTACAATATTCTTTTAGGGATTTTCTTGCATTTTGAAAATGTCCCTAAACAGTACAGTTTGACTTCTCAGATTCCTAAAAATCATAGGCCAGTTTAGGATGTCAAAACCATGAACCCAGACACAATATCCACATTAAGTATCAGCAATGATTTAAAAAAAAAAAAAAAATCTCAAACTGTTTCAGTAGGAAAATCAAAGCTTGCATGAAGGTTTTAAAAAAACTGGCTGATGAATTGGTTTTTGCCCCATACAAAACTCATGTCAACATCATGGTGATAATACTAATGCACTATGGATGTACGGTATGAAATGTGCCTTTCCAAAAAAGCACATTCAGGCCAAGGACAGACAGGCTTGCGTCCAAGGCCACTGCCAATCTTTTAATTCATAATCAAAGTTATTTAATTAGCATTAGTAAACACATACCAAACAGTGCCAAAGGGGACACAATCTGTGCAGTAATTTYATTCTGTCATCATCCAATTTGGGACAAACAATGAATGTATCCCTAGACAGGTCTTTGCGATGTCGGCTTTCAATTCATAAGAAGGAATGCCCTGTGGGCGTGGCCTTTATTGCCTTCTTCATTCTCTTTTCCCTCCTCCAATTTTAAAAAAGACTTTGAAGTTGCAAGATAAGGAATTGGATATTGTCAACCATACACTATATCAGTGCTCACACATGGAGACAAAAAAATATTTTATAGATAGCTGCTAAAAGCAGAAACTGACTGTAAAATCAGGCACAGATGTCCCGATGGGATGCATTTACCATATTACTTTTAGGCCGTCAGCACTGAGTATAGACACATGACGTTTTAGTAATTTCCACGTGAGCAAACAGTAGAGAGTTCATGCCACGGTTGCCACTCCATTACATACCCATCGCAACAAAGAGCATCCCAGTGAAGCACAGACAGTGAAGCAGTGTTATCAGCAAGCCTTTGTCCAAACAGTCATTTTGACTGCGTAGTTTTGGAAAGTGCGGTTGGGAGGTTGGCATTAAATCCCAAACACACTTGACACACTCAGCCATCTGGGGATTAAGATGCTAATCCCTTCTTATTGAAACTGCCACTCTGAGGATAACAGCTTATTTTTCTATTACCTGGGATGATGGTATCAGAGATAGGGACACTTTCCTTGTCATCTTTGACAGTGTAAACACTGACATTGTATTCCAGGCCGGGACTCAGATTTTCAAAAGTGCAAGAACTCTGATCCGCACGAACCATTTCTTCCAAAGCATTACCCTGCTGTCCGCTTGTAGGGGTGGTAGTGATTCTATAGCCAGTGATACCTGCAGAACAGAAAGGAGGAAGTTACCACAGAGCATTGATGACCCACAGAGGAGTAAACAAGACTCCATGGTGGACTGACGAAGGACATCGAGTGTTTATTAAGGAGTCTACTATTATTCAACCCTTTGAGGTTGACCAGGAGTCTGAGTTCGGTCAAGAAAATCTTGTGTTAAATAAAATAGGCTCAGGACAGAAAGACAAAACTGTGTATTCTCATTCATTTGTGGAAATTATAATGATGATCTTATAGAAGAAGAGAGTAGAATGGAGATCACTAGAGACTAGGAAGAGTAGCAAGGAAGGGAGATGCAGAAAGGTTAGATAATGGGTCGGGCACAGTGACAGCCAGTTTGGGAGGCTGAAGCAGGAGGATCTTAAGTTTGAGGCCAGCCTCAGCAATTAAATGAGGCCCTAAGCAGCTTAGTGAGACCCTGTCTCAAGATAAAAATTTTTTAAAAAGGGGGCTGACGATGTGGCTCAGTGGTTAAGCACCCCTGGGCTTCATTCCTGTTACCAAAAACAGAAAGAAAGAAGGCAGGAAGGAAGAAGCAAGGAGGGAAGGAAGAAAAAGAAAAAGAAAGGTAGGTAGGTAAGAAAATGGAACCAGAATACAGGTAGATAGGAGGGATTCGTTTTAGTGTTCTACAGCCCAGCAGGGTGACTATAGTCTATAATGATCTATAATATATTTTGAACTAAGTAGAAAAGTCTGAAGATGCCCAACACACAGAAATAATAAGAGGAGATGGAGATGCTTATTTGATCATTACACACTGTATCTATGTATTCAATTATTTTACTGTACACCCAAAATATGTATAAATTTTGTGTGTCAACTACAAAAAAATAATGCTACCTTTCAGCAACAACAGAAAAGAAAGGAAATCTTGGAAAACGGGGAAATGATGACCAAATTCCTCTCCTCCTACCACTCTCCCTGCTTTCTCTTAATGATCAAGTCTCTGTAGGACTGCCGAGGGCCATCCCATTTTACCTGCATGGTACGAAACACTCTCGACCTATGGGATTTTMAGGAAGAGAAACCAAGGTGATGCCGCTCATTCTAGAAAAAGTTTATAAATTATTGAAGACTTCAGGAACCATGGAAATTGGGCAGTAAAAGGATTGAGGGAGAGAAGGGAGAGATTCAAGTAGATGGTGACAACTAGAGATCTTCAGGAMCCAAAGATAAGAGGTGGAAGAGTGATGACGTTAAACTTTCTAAAGGACAAGGAAACAAGGGTCTATTTTATCATTAGGAACAAGGTGAACACTAAAGTGTTATACAAGGAAATCCAGCTGGATGGGAAAAAAAATATTTAGGTCATTGCATTGGCTTGTGATCATCTGATGAGGCCATTGAGACTGGAGATGAATGACTAGCTGCCAGCCAGCATGAAACTCACTCCCCAGCAGAAAGTTTCAAAAGCAGAGTAACTCAGTTGGAAACTGGGTAGCTTTGGCTTAAACTATGTGTTCATATATTTAAAAACAAATAAACAACAACAACAAMAAAAAAAAACTTCACCAAAATCATTCTAGACTTCAGAGGGAGATTAGAAAGGATATTTTGAGCTACTTTTACTTTGTGTGATTGTATAGACTGATCAGACTTAGAGATAATTACCTCAGTTTTATACCCACATAGCAGTAGAGGTGTGCAAGAAATACTTCTTACAGATTTTTATTTTTGTACCAGGGATTGAACCTACGGGCAATTAGGGGCAATGTACCCCTGAGCCACATCCGCAGCAGCCTTTATTTTATTTTTTTCTTTGTGGTCCTGGGGATTGAACCCAGGGCATTATGCATGTGAGGCAAGCACTCTACCAATTGAGCTATATCCCAGCCTCTTTATTTTGTTTTTAATATTACATTTTATTTTAGAGACAGGGTCTTATTGAATTGCTAAGGGCCTCACTAAGTTGCTGAAGCTGGCTTTGAACTCACAATCCTCCTGCCTCAGCCTCCTAAGCCACTGGGATTGCAGGCATGTGCCACTGCACCCAGCTACTTCTTACAAAAATTTTAACAGTAAAATAAGAACGAGTTAAGTAATAAACTAGGTATATTCATTCCTCAAGTTAAGTATAGCAGGTATGGATGCAACCAACATGAGCTGAAACTTTTGTTTAGTATAAAATCTTGGTTTTGGAAACCCTCTGACTGGTCCCAGGCCTACCTGGGGTGGTGCTCCTCTCCCAGGACACAGTAAGCTCGCCAGTATCAGGGTTGGCCTCCAGGTGCAAGTTTGTCGGTGGAGACAGTGCTATGCAAAAAGAAAATGTTAAATTAAACATGACAGCTCACACAAAGTACTTGGCCAGGGGAATGTTTCTTCCTCTTCTTTCTTTTCCCTTCTTCCCTCCCTCCCTTCCTTCCAGAATTGGTGAAATTATAGAAGTTATAGTATGAAAACATGGTGCACGATTATTTTGTACTACTAATGGAATTATTTCCATCTTTCCAGTTTGCAAATACTCTTGACACGGAAAGAACATATCTTATGCCCCAAAATACCTGGCATGAGTTGGATCCGCTCTTCCAAATTTCTAAATAGTAAGTCGGGATAAGATTTTTCCCCCATACTATTCTTATAAATAGTGCTATTGACAGATTTTAAAAAGTAGAACAGTTTGAAAAGCTAAAAGAAAAGAAAAAAGCACAAGAACTCTCCCTACGTGTCACCACTCTGTTGACAATCGGCTGTTCGACTTCTTTCCCATCTCTCAGGACTTGGACGCTGTAATCATATTCCACTCCTGGAGTCAAGCCAGACACGACAATGCTTCCTGAGTCTGAAGTCACTTCTCGTGGGGCCTCACCTCCCTGGCTTGGTCGCACACCCAGCTAGAGGGAGGAGAGCACATCAACACAAAGGACAAGCATTTCTGGTTAAATAATAGTTAAATTATAAACTAGATACATGTTGAGAGGTTGTGGTTAGACTTTACATATCATGGCTCCTCAGAAACACACAATGTACTTTCACTGGGGAGGCACTGGGGACGTGCCATACGTAGTTCTATTTCCAACCTCAGCTGGAAATTCCCTAGATTGGAGCCAGGGTAGAAGAGGTATCGTCCAAATGGCACTAAGGTGGTTTGTGATGGAAGGTTCCAGAGAAATGCCTGGAACCTTCTATTAAAAATGCTGATTTGCTTGATAAAGGACCTTCTGGTATAAACAGGGGGCTTTGGGCCACATGATATAGTTCACTTCTATTTTCTTTTGTGTGAGAGGAAATTCCCTAGGAACTCTATTAAATGAGTTTTTTACATCCAGTTCACTTTTCAGTTGCCATTTCAGGGCACCAGCCTCTGTAGCACCTCTTATTAAACACATACACACACACACACAAAAAAAAAATCCTCCTGTTGAAGACATTATGTTCACAGTTTCAGCTACAGGATATGTTACAAAAGAAGAATTAAAATAAATGTGCCCATAGTTTTAAATCCTTTCAAATTTCTATTTCAAAAACCCAGGTAACATTGTGTTATGAAATGGTGTTAGATCTCAGAGAAATCCTTCATATGCTACGCAGCATCTGAAAGCTAGATTGATGCCATTAAAGGAAATCCACAAGGTACATTGGCACACTTCAAAAAGGAGTCTCAATAAGTGGCCTAATCATCAATATGGCCATTACATACTCAAAAAGGAAATGACCTCTGGCTTATTTTAAAAACAATCCTGGGGGTTTAGTCTTAATTTCCAGTCTCGATGAATTATTTCTTCCTCCATTCTCTACATAAACAACAAAAGTAATTCTTTCAAGCATATTCATTTGTATTCATCATTTCCCTAATATCATTACTTTAAAGAACATGAATCCAGATATCTACAGGGGAGACCTCAATCTTAACCTCTATTAAAGAGATTTACCCATGGGGCTTTGAACAAGTCAAAAGGAAACTGATTGGATAAAAGTGTGATTTTTAAATGACTCCGAGTTTAATTGTTCTCCCCAAATTGGCTTTTGTGAACTGCTTGGCACCCATTTAGAACAACATATCAAATGGAGTTCTCCTACATTTTTCTTAAATGTAGTTCCCTGGGGGAAAGGATAGAGAAAATAAAAACAGCAACAACTAACAGGTCCATGCTAATGTTTTCCCCTTTGCAAAGCACACACACAACCTCAGTCCATCCTTGCAGCAACTGAACAAGGTAAGCAAGGGGATCCTCCAGGTGTGAACAGAGGCAGGTGACAACACCCAGGTCTCCTTTCCTGAACAGCTTCTATCTACTGCATGCAAAAACAGGACGGCTCTATCAAGCCTGCATTGCAAGAATTTAGGAACATCTGCAGTTTACCTTAAACCCAATCCTTGGAACAGGGATCCATGTGATCACAATGGTGGTCTCAGTGACCTCTGTGTTGAAAGGTGGAATGGAGCTCGATGGCTGCACTGTGAAATGAACCAACACATGTGTTCAACACCTTCAACTCGTAAATGATGGTAGAAAATGTAAAAAAACAAGTATCTTTATCTAGAACTTGAGTTTAATGAACCAGTAGATGGAGAAGGAGTTACTTCATCAGATGAGAAGAGAAGTGCTTCTCAATGATCAATGTGCCACACAAATAACCTGGTGAAAATCCAGGTGCTGATTCTGGAGGTCCAGCACGGGGTTGGGGAGCTAGCTTTTCAAACTGGCCAATGATGCCAACTCTGGTCTGTGAATCACACTTGAGTATAACAGGTGGCTAGACAACCTTTCAACTCCTTAGATTCTGTGATTTGTGGCTTTTCATTATTGTTGGGATTTGAGTTTGGTGACAATAAATTTTCTTATAACAGAATAAAGTCCCTTATAAAATATGTAATTGGTCACTGCAAACAGAGGATCATTTGGTTTCTTAAACATTAAGAGCAATGGTAAAATTACAGATGTGATCTAAAAATAGCTTTTTGATGGATTTTCCACAATGGTGACCAATATTTTTGGTTGCTTGGTTGCAGTAAGTGATGCCATATAAAAGTTAAAAAATTCTGAAATCATGGTTGTATTTTAATTGTAAAAATTCATCCTTTTAATATATGATTGTTCATTCATAAGAATTCTATAGAAGTTTAGTATCCTATCACTAGAATTASAAATCATAACAAAGGTTTATTTTGCATCTTCTAGCATCCTAGCACCAGTTATTTCTCTTAGTGAAAAATATTCCTTAAAGCAAGGGATTAGACAAAGGGGAATGAAGGGAAGGGAGTGGGGATGGAAACAGGAAAGAAAGCAGAATGAATTGGACATAACTTTTCTATGTTCATATATGAATACCACCAGTGAAACTCCATATCCTGTACAACTTCAAAAACCGGAATCGAATTAGAAAAAGTTATACTCCATATGTGTATGTCAAAATACACTCTATATCATGTATAYCTAAAAAGGACAAATTTTTAAAATGTCTTCAAAAAAGCGAGGAGGAGAAAGAGCATATGTACACAGTTAAGGCAGGCATTCCCAACAGCCTTGCAAATTCTTGTTATAAACTTAGATGAGGCTTTGGAAGCCAAGAAGTTTGAGTTGAGTGAATTAAGTTCAAGGGTTTGGAGCACATTAGTAGCCCTGGGTTATGCCTTCACAATTCCTTCCATTTTATGTCCCAATCAAACTCTGTTCTCACTGGGAAAAATAACTACTGAAAGCATTTATTCTAAATCATGAATGGCTAGTGAGACAAAGAGTTATCCTCCAGAATTACACCAACAGAGATTAAAAAGTCTTCAGACTCTAGTCTATGTAGCTCCAATCAAATATTTTTTTTTTCTTTCTATGCCATGTGGGAATTTAGACTCAACACTGCAATTCTTCCTGTTTTTCCCCCTCAGTCTGGATTTTAATGTCTTATTTCTTATTTTTATTTTTAAAATACTGTGTGGGAAAAAGTCAAATATCTGTGTGGGCCATTTTGCAGAGACTGCTATCATGGCTGAACTGAACTAAGGTTTAGTGAGCTATTTTGTTAAGTATATTATTCTGGTGGCATTTGGGGAAACGGGGGTGGGTGATCCTTGGTGCTCTCCAGCACCTCTGAAATCATACATCACGTGGCTGTGGCCCACTTTGCCAAAATACCAGGGCCAGCCGGGGGTCACCATTTTTAATGGCCCACAAGAAATAATTTAGAGAACAGTCAATTTCTTTTATTGAACATCTGTGAAAGCCACAACTTTTTCACAAATTACATTCTCTCCAACAGTCCTGGACTTTAGAACTGGGTATTTTCTATTGCTTGAGCTAGCCAGGGAAAATCTTCCCAAGTTTAAGATGATTCTCTCTGTCTGGGAAGACCATTACAGGAAAATCACCAAACCACAAACCCACAAACTGATGTCAAACAAAGGATGTGACTGTTAACTATGAGTTACAGATTCTGGAAGGTCTTGTTAGGTGAAGAACTGCCTGGCTGTTAAAGAAATAAAATATGCCCTATCAATAAAGGAGTGAGCCATATTTTCCCCAGAAACAGCTGCTTCTTCCCACTTTTCTCACATTTGCTCTTAAGAATTCAGCACAAGTTATAAAACTCAGGAAAGTTATTCCCAGAATTCAGCTTAGTAAGACAGTAAAAAAGCTACAGAAAGTTAAAAGTAATTTCAAAAACAGCAAGCTCTGCGGATGTTTACAGCCACAGGAGTGTTTGAGGTTCAAATGAAGTTGTATAACTCCTTGTTTACGTTGGTTTATTTAAATATAAGCTGGCCTGAGTGGTTCTCATTATCATTTCTTTCTCAATCAATCATCTCTTCACCAAATGTTTTTTGAAAGTATACTCTGCAATGTACTATGTTAACCTTTACATAATAAAAATTAATTTTGGTATTAGCATTTTAATTCAAATATAATTATATTTTAAGTAAATATATATACATATATATATATATATATATATATAAAACATATTCAAGAGAGCAAAAAATAGCATTTCCAATAAGTATATCAAAGTTCTCCCCCCCAAGAAAAGTTCCTGTACTGATCCCCTCACTCCACTTAATTATTGTTATCTTCACTAAAAATTCTCTTTCATTTCATAGACACTCTATCCAGCCAAAAAAGAAAAGTACATAAAATATGCCTCATGCTAATGAAAAAGACAACTATATAATTCTACATTTCAGTAAAAAAGGCTGTCTGCTGAAAGGAAACAGGTACTGGACTTTCCATTCTAACTCAGTGAAGGCCTTTCTTAAGAAATACAAAGACAATTTCACGAGAGCAGATTTTAGGCTCTCTCAGAACCAGATGACATAAAAGAGTGAAATTTTAAGGTGAACTTTCTTTCAAATTAAAAGCAAATGTCATTTGCCTGTGATTAACAATCATTTAGGAAAAAGCCTTCACTGGCCAGACACCAAATTTAAAAGGAAATAAGTTTTTGGTGAAGTATGGATTCCTATGGGGAAACATTTATAGAGAGTTTTCTTTGGGAAATAAATTCCAGAGTGATGTACAAACTAAGGGTTGTCTTGACTTTTTTTTTTTTGACTGCTTTTGAATGTCTATATTTTTAAATTAGTAAAAGAGGAAGATTTGTGGGAAGCTTTTGGGAAATTGAAAACTAGTACATAGTTGCAATATATGCTGAAAAAGTGCTTATGTTAGATGTTTTCATAATTCAAAATGTCAAGTTGAAAATAACAAATAATATTCTGCTAGCAATAAGGAGTCTCATAATTCTTTGTAATGTAAATGGAATGTACTTAGTGGAAATCAGTTTGTGAATAGAGGCCTTTATTGTGATGTGTATGTATAGAAGATTTAAGACCATTTCCTCTAAAATGTTGAGCAAAAGTAGAAACATGACCAAAAATTATTGTTAGAATCTTCACCCTCTGTGGAACTTCAAGAGTTTTTTAAGGAAAAGAAAAAAAATGAAAGAAAGAAAAGAAAGTTCGTTTTTGTGTCCTTTAAATACTTTAGAAGTATTTAATGCTTTGCAGTCAACAACACTTGGGAGAAATAATTTCCTCAGCTTCTTGCTCTATTGGTTGGTTTCTGCTCAGTCCCTAGATATTTTTGATTCTGCTTGTATGGCTATCATTTGATGCCCAATGTAATAAACTATRGTAGAGATGCTGATTTAGTTTGTCTTAACTATTTGGTAAATTTATTTTGTCCCATAGAATTCAATTTTTCTAATTGCAGGGTCATTATGCTACTCAAAGTGCTAGCCTAGGAGGAAATAAGGAACTTGTCAATGTATGCAAAAAAAAAAAAAWTTTTTTTTYYTTTTTTTTTGAGCCACTATAGATCAAACMCAGGGCTTTGGGCATGCTAGGCAYGTGTTTTGCTGATGCAGTCACATCACTAGCCCTCATAGAGAAGATCTTTCTTCAAAAATTGTATCAGCTAAATGAAATAGCATGCTGTTGAATTACATTCTGGCACAAGCTCCTTGTCTTTAGCAGATGAATAATAAACAATTTATAGCCCAGTAGCCAATCCRTAGAGCACATTTTTAGTAGCATTGCTTTAAATGATCTACTAAGTTTTTAAAGTTAACCTTTAAAAATGGAAGAACAGAGACTGCAAAARTACAGTAAAGAACCTATGATACGGCTGGGGATACAGCTCAGTTGGTAGAGTGCTTGTCTTACATGCACAAGGCCTTAGGTTCAATCCCCAGCACCATTAAAAAAAAAAAAAAAGAACTAAATTTTGGCTTACATGTAGAGAAGACTCCAGTGGCTTTGGGGGTCTCTTGGTCGCCTTTGATACCTACGAGGGTGACAGTGTACTCAGACCCAGGCTGCAGGTTCCTCAGGGGGTACTTGGAGACAGAGGGCCCCACATTGTACTGCTTGGGCCGGCCTCCTCGGGTTAGGCCCACCGTCAGTCGGTACCCTGAGATCCGGGCCCGAGGTGGGGTCCAAGTTACCAGGACACTTGTGTCACTTTCATTGACAAATTGGAGGTTAGTGGGAGCATCCAGTTCTAGAAAAAAAAGATGAAACATGTCAAGAAATATTTAGATCAGTAATTATCTCATTGAAATCTTAAAGCTTGACCAAACAGTGTTGCGTTTCAACCAAACAGTGTTTCTTCTACTTAAGGTAGAAACTAAAGGAAAAGTCAAAACTCTGGAGAAAATGAGCCTTTAAGAGGCAGAGCACTTTGTACAACTTTGCCTAAACACTGTGTCAGCCATGAGAAATCCTTGACCTTTTCCCTTTGAGGGTTATCCTTTGGASAGTCTCATTTTCAGCAAGATCTCCCATCACACTCAGAAATTACAATTACATTAAAGCGATGGCATTTTCTTAAAAAAGCAAAACAAATACTTGTGAACCCCACAATTTGCTCAGAGCCAGAAAGGTTATGGGAAGAGAGATAAACTCAATAGAAAGGACAGCAAGACGGAAGTTCCCTATGGATCAAAGGAAGAGTTTATGCATTTATTAAATGAATAGTCCTTTGCTGGAGAAATAAATGTTATTTTCGCATGGTTCTGAGTAGACACTAATTATAGTCATTAGAACAGGCTCAGAACCTCAGATTCTCAGTAGGACATGGGTGACTTTGTACTATCTGAAAGAATCACATCCATTGTGGGTTTTCTTCTTGAGTATGACAACTAGCAGTTTCCCCTCAGAATTCTAGAACACATTTCAGATACAAGAAATCTTTAGGAGGTGGCTGGGTATAATTGAAAACAGGGAGTCCAGAATCAAAAAGTCAGATTTTAGAGCCAGTTCTATCTCTTCTTAGCTCTATGACCTTACAATTTGCAGAACTTCAAAAATGTTTAAGTTTCTTTCTGAATCCAGTAAAGATAATAATATTTTCCTTTATAAGATTAAAATGAAGATTAAATATGAGTAGAGTGCTTTGCTAGAACTGAGCAGACAACTCAGTATTCAAAATAGTAGACACTTATTCATTTCCACATTTTTTTTTTTGCAGTGTTGGAAATTGAACATATTAGGTAAATGCTCCACCACTGAGCTACATCCCTAACCCAACAACTACAATTCTTAAATTCTAATATAAAAATGTTAGTAGTTTACATTTTAACTTAGATCTAGATATATTTATTAAATACAAAATGYACTCAAATTACTTAACCATGTTTCCATTAGCAAAGGAAATTAGGTTCTCTTAGTGCCATCCCCCTGAGTATTGGAAATGGATTACCATTTACCATCCACAGAGCTTATCTGAATTTTCATTCCAAGTTTAGTGAGCTTTACATTCAATACACAGTCTCCCTGTTGGGCATTTTTCTACTGCTAAGTGGAAACCCAGGAGGTTAATAGAACAGCAAGGTTGCACTTCCACATAGGTCAGATGTGAGGGTGGAGAAGCTGGGGGTGGGGCAGACACAGGTGGGAAGAGTACATACTGGTTGTCTGTTGTGCAATCAGAGGCTTGCTCTCCCTCCCCTGGTTCACGGCAAAGACCTTGAAGTAATAGGTGGCCCCGGGGGACAACCCCATGACTTCTGCAAAAGTGTTCCTGTTAATGGGCAGCCTCTGCCCATGCTCCCCAGGCAAGTTGACAGGGATCACATCCACACGATAGCCGGTCACTGCACTGTCAGGGGGTGTCCACATGATGGTGACCTTCACGTCTGTCACTTCCACAAACTGCAGGTCTTTAGGAGGGGGAACTTTATCTAACAGACAAGAAACAGCAAGTCATTCACAATTCCAACTTTTTTTTTTTTTTTTTTTTGTACTAGGAATTTAAGCCAGGGAAACTTTACCACTAAGCCACATCCCCAGCCCTTTTAATTTTTTATTTTGAGACAGGGTCTCACTATGTGGCTTAGGGCCTGGATAAGTTGCTGAGGCTGGCCTTGAACTTGAAATCCTGCCTCAGTCTCTCAGGTTGCTGGGATTACAGATGTGCACCACCATGGCCAGCTGAAAACTGTMTTTAAGGCCATTTTCCTGGACATGTTAGGCACTTCATGGAGCTACCCTCCAGAGCACTGCTAAATTTTGTCTCTTAACCAGATAATTGGCTTTTTTTGCATAGATTTTCATGGTTCAGTCATACTGCTTACATTATGAAATTTGAAGTTTTGTGTCTAAAATACATAGGTAAATGTATGAGTTTACAGCATAAGAGGTGTCAATTTGGAGAGAGAAGTTAAACATTTAAAAAATCCAGTTTAAGGTAACTGCCCAAAAGATAAGATGGTCTTATTTTACTGAACTATTTTATAATAATCCTAAGAGCAACAGATAAAATGACCCTAGGCTTCTGAGGAAAAAAATAAGAAAAATTGATGGTAAAATTGTTTTTTGACTAGAAGTGCCAACAGCTGTCTTTGATAAGCTCCCTTACTTATATTGTGGACACTTCAGCAGAATATCCTTAGTTTAAGATGATTTGGATGTAGGAACTACTGACARAGAGAAAGCAACCCTCCCTCAGGGACTATCAGCCCTTGTCTTTGTACTCCAGTTCTCCCCAGGAGGCTAATGGAATGAACTGGATCCCAGGAGGTCTACCTGTTATCTAGCTGCCCCAGGGGAGAAGAYACCAAGGGAGCATTACCTGACCGTGGGGTGCCCGTGGTTTCTTGCTGGATGAAGACAGGAGTACTCTCCTGGTTTTCTTCCACGGCATAGATGGTGATGTTGTACTGAACTCCAGGCTGCAAGTCACTGAGGGTGACAGAGTTGGCAGTCTCGGGGAGGTTGAGCTCGGTGCTACCGCCCTCTTCTGATGGTGCATAGACTATTCTGTACCCTGCAGGGTCAGGAGAAAAGTATGAAGTGCTGTTTTATAAAACGGAGGCTAAGAAAATCATGAATCCTCCCCTCTCTAGTCACCCTTACACCTTGCTTGATTAGTTAAGAATCAGCAAGATTCTTTTTGTTTCTTTCAATGCTACCACTTCTAATGACTATTCAGCACAAAGATAAAATAAGAAGAGCCATACAAACCTTTTTAATAATAAATATCATCCTTGAAGACACGAGATACTTAATAACTGTCAATTAGAAAAGCCAGTAGGTGGAAATCTTCATGCTAGGCTGATTTCTCTTCTTTGAGCTCTGGATTATGGAAGCAATTAATGAACCAGCCTGAACACAGAGCTCTCAAGCCCTGTGTGTGTCTTTGAGGAACCTCTATTATGAGGCTGAATAGGCAACTTAGCTCTTCTTTAAGAGTAAGCCTTAGTGTAAGGTTTTCAGAAATGCCACACCTCTGCAGCCCTGGAAATGCTTGCTGTAATGGCCAATGAGCTGCCTTTGCAGGGGTGTGTGCATGAGTGTGTGTGTGTGTGTGTGTGTGTGTGTGTGTGTGTGTGTAAGGAGGTGGTAAAATGGAATGTTACACTGATCCACAGTCTGAATCTGCTCTTGCCATACTTAGCCATAAAGATTAACAAAGAAGCCAAAGAACAAGGCTAAGCCCACCTGTGATTGGTGCCTGGGGTCTGCTCCAGCGAACAACAATGGARGTGTCATCAACTTGGCCCACAGTAGGGTCAGGAGGGGCGTCAGGAGCTAACAAAGAAAGGAAGGAGGAAGTGAGGCAGCTGGGCAACTTTGCTATAGCCCTGCTTTTACAAAAGGATTCCTTGAACACCACGTAGCACACAGGTACCTGTTGTCTGTGAGGTTGACAGAATCAAACTTTGCTCCCCGTCTTCGGCTATCTGATAGACATTTACAATGTACTTTCGGCCAGGAAGCAGGTCAGGGATGCTCACAGAAGTGGCCGTGCTCGGGAGTTCTTTGGAATAAAAAAGGAAAGGTCACTGATCAAAGCAAACCAATGCCTCCACAGCTGATCTAAGAAGAACTACACATCACAGGGGGGAAAAGACTAGAAGGAGATGTAGTAAAAGATAATCAGTGATTATTAATGTACCATGGGATATTTCTTCTTWCGTTTTTCCAAAATCTTCTCCTAAAGATGCATAGTTTTAATAATCCACCCCCAAATTTTTGAAAATAGCTCCTGTGTGGTTATAAATCATAGTAGCAGCAATGGGCAGAAAGTGATGGGGGTCGGGGTGGGAGGGATATTCTTTTTCTTGACCTGGATGCTGGTCCCATGAATGAGTTCAACAAACTTTGTAAAAGATCTCTAACCATGGGAATCTGAAAAGCATAAGCAAAGGACCTGAGCACTCTTCAAAGCTACCATCATCAGAGGTAGTGCTCATATACAATCACTGCCATGAGAAAATAGTTTCTGTTGTGCAAACCTATGTCCAGGCAAATACTTGGTGCTCAGTGAAGCTCACATCAGGGACCAGGACAAAGTGTCGTTGCTCACAGGAACCCAGCCAGTTCTGTAAAGGGTCAGCCCCTCCCTGACTTATCAGAGGGGAGAGTGTTCAGACCAGGTATGATGCCCTGTCCCCAGGGGGTTTACCCATCACCCCTCCAAACCTGTCCTGAGACAACGTGTTTAGCTTACCCAGGTACCGWGGCTCAGCTCCCTCCTCACTCAGCTCATACACCACCCGGAATCCAGACAAAGTATCGGAAGCTGAGACCCATGAGACCACAAAGCTGCTGGCAGTGATTTCAGTCACAGATTCAGATGTGGCCACCACCGGTGACAAAGGTGTCGTCTCTCCTGTCACGGTGTTGCCTAGAGTGCCACAGAAAGGGGGAGAGCAGTCCTTGAGTTTTCTAGAATGTTCACCCTTCTTGTCTGAAGAATACTGTCATTTAAAAAATGGAGGTGCCATTCACGGAAGGAATTGAACTGAGAATGAAGCAGGTCCTGCAGGGAGCCCAAGTCTGGGATACCCAGGTGTAGACAGGAGGATGCTAGGTACGTACTRGTCCCTTTGGGGGTGCTGCTGSTGGTGGTGGTGAAGTCGAAGCGTGTCACTTCTCTGTGGCCATACTGCTGAAAACTGATGAGCTGCCCCTCATATATCACTCCTGGGGTCAGGCCTTTGATGACGTAGGAGTTTAAGTGACCAGGAATGGTAGCGTCTTTCCAACGGCCCACAGAATTTTTCTGAAAATTTAAATGAAATTTAAAAAAAAAGAAAAAAATCACACAAGAGTTTGCAAGGATGCACATTCAGAGATGAATGAGGGTGAGCAATCTTCAAAGACAAATGAGGAGATTTTTCAGCTCCACTCTGGAGGACGATCGTGGAAAACTGAATTCAGAACAGGGGCTAGTAGTAAAGTTTGTTGAAGTTAATAATTGTATTGTAAGTATTATTTATTGAGAGTTTGTAGCTCTGTGCTGTTTTGCTTGCTTTCTCCCACTGATCTTCACCTCCCTGCATCCTACTCAGTAGTGTTGGTATCACTGCACTCATTTTACAGGTGGAAAAACCAAGAGTTATGTGACATGCTGGAGGTTATGAATTTGCAAGCGCTGAACACCTTTGCTTGGGCCAGAGCAATTACTTAATATTGGTGAATACAATTATGATATCCTAAATTTTCATCTTGCCCATTTTTCCCCATTTTTACAATAAGCAGAGATAGTTTCCTTTCTAAAATGGGAAATATGTTCTATCATCTTTTAAGTTGGTGGGATACAATTCAAGTCTCTTGTCCTGCGGAAGTGTCCAAAGGCACCATACTGTTTTTGCGATTCAGATTCTGGGGACAGCACAAACAAGATTCAACTGGTCTGGTTTTGTGACTCATTCTTGGATACAAACTATCCCATCAAAAGTGGTCAGCCAACTTTGGGCAAGACTATAGAAGAATGTAATTTCAGTTTATTTAATCTTTTGCYCCTGGTTTACATTTTCACATCCTGTTCAACTTCATTAATATGTCATAGATCACAAAGCTCACTGCAATAGAATGTGTGGAGAAGAAACACCCTAACTTCAAACAAATCGAAATCCTTTTAAGTATAAATATTCAAAGTAGTATGAGTATCAAAATACATTTTGTATCCCCAGTGATTTTTCTTTTTAATTGCCCAATCAACCAGTTCACAGATTTAATTCAAATGCTCAAGTGCCCATTTATATTTTGGGGATAAATGAAAGTGATCCTAGTATCCTTTGAACTTAAATTTTAACTCAAATACTCTGTGAAAAATTTTGAAATTAGTCATTAAAATTAGCTCCAAATTGGTAGTAAACTTGTATTCAATGGGAGCTTTTAAAATTAGYTATCAGAAGAAAAGATTAGAAAATATGCTCATAAGGAAACAATCGAAAAGTTTTTCATTTTAATAGACATTTTCTCCTGTATTTAAAGTACTGTTCCTCAAATCGTGTTATGAACTTAGAAGTTGTATTGGGGTAGGTTTGAGAGGGTAAGAAAAACTAAAGCTTAATGGACATTATCTTYCTTGGTATGGTTTCTTCAGTTTCTAGACGTTTAGAAAATCACAGGGCTCATTCTTTAAATAAACCAACTATCATCCCTCATCTGCACTTTCCTCTCATCCATTTCTTTCTCTTCTATCTAAATAACCTTAGGAGATAAAATTAATGCTTGAAACAATGAATCTTAGGCTGGAGATGTGGCTCTGTGGTAGAGCACTTGCCTGGCATGCAGGATGCCTGGGGTTTGATCCTCAGTACCACACATAAAACAAAACAAAAAACAAAAATATGGTTTAAAAAGTGAATCAAAAAAGAAAGGAATTAATTTACAGGACGGATCCCAATAAGTTCTTCCTTTAATAGAGTTGAAAGACATGCAAAAAAATTAGATTATCTTCCCACAWTGGGCAAGATTAAGTTTATGCTATCATTTCTAATTCCTTGCAAAGATCATTTGTAACATAAATTTCTAAATTCTAAATACAAAAAAAAAAAGTCAATTTGATTGACCACATATTCTCACTAAGAAAACATACTGATAGTTAATCAGATCTGTTGACTCAAAAGCTAGAAACAAACAAAGAAACATATCAGAATTTGGTGAGGTCAGGATACTCAATATTCAGGGTTTCTGGATGGATACTCACAGGTCTCCACCTGAGAATGTACTTGGTGATGTGAGATGGTTCTGGTGCATTCCAATGGATGGGGTGAGAGTTGGGCTGACTGGGGGTCTCAGTGATAATTACTTGGACAGGACCAGATGTACCTAAAAAATTTAAAAGATGAGATTTGGTTATATAGAGTATTCACTCCAATTTAAAATTTAATGTTCATGGATGTCATCATTAAAAACAGATTGCTTATCAGTTAATATTACTATAATAAAAATGATCTGGGCTTGGTAAAGCCTTTTACCTCCTGACACTGGAAATCAATGCAACAAATTCTTTCTTAGATGATTATTATTGTTCTTCAAATGAGAAACACAAATGCTTACAACAAATAAAACTATTGTTTTTTTTAAATCTCCTTAATCTGTTTTCTTCTTTATTTTCAAAGGAAAATTGTGAAACAATTGTGAAATTGCTTTAACACAGACAATGTAATTCAGAATACAAACTTCATTTACTGATTATATTGTTTCCTTTAAAGAAAATTCTAATTTGTGAAAGTTTCATTACCAATGACTCTGCTATCTGAGAAGAAAACAACATTCCAAAGGCCATATGACATGATGTAAAACAAACACATTTCTAAATGGTGCCGAATCTTAGGCAAATAGACAAAGGTAATAATTAAAAACCCAGTTTTATTTCTCATCAGCCTAAGCATTCTGTCAGTTTGAAAAAAGAAATCTAGTTTTAATTCTATTCAAAAAGTATACTCTAAAATCACACCACTGGTCAAATTATTAAAAGATCAAAAAAATTTTTTCAAAAAGAGTTAACAACTAAAATGACATTATGAAGTACATAATAAATTCAATGTTTCCACATCTTGGTATGTGTGACTGTTATGGACTTGGTTCTTTTGTTTAAGGAAAAGGAAAAATAAGGAAAGAGAATCAATTTGTTAATACAATAGACTCCACTTAGGATAAAACAAAACAGTCCTGAAATATTTAGGTTTATAGAACAGAAAACTATCTTTCTCTTAAACACTGTATTCTCTATAATGTCAGCCAATGTTCAATTTTCTAGGAATAAAAAAAAGTTCTTTGTAATCAATAACCTTTCCAAGAATTTTGTATGTTTAATAAAGCACTTCACCAGATTATTCACAGATTTAAGTTTCCTGAAAGGTCTCAGGGAAAAGTATATTTATTTTCGAATATATATATATTTAGTATCTTAGCCATTAAATTATCTTTGAAAACAAAGTCTTCTCTAGCAGAATAATTATCTAACTTGTAAATCTAGGTATACTTAAAAGTCCTAGAATAATACACTGACTCTCAAAAATTCAAAGTTGGTTGGAGATCCAAATATTCTTTGAATCTTAATTTCATTGAGGGTACATATTTCCAGGCCACATGGCTATCAAAGTTCATATATAAAATTCACAGTTTTCCATTCTAAAGTGACACATATTTCACAGAACATGCAGGATGTTTGTTTTAATCAATTGGCAAAAGTTACATGACCCTCTTTGAGACATCCCTCTGTTCATGGAGATTCTCACAAATATGAATATGTTTTTAAAGATAAATATTTAAGAAAAGTTTTAGAGATGTGACTATTTAAAGTACTTTCATATAAGTCAGTAAATAGAGGAATATCAGATCCTTAAGTTATTTATGATCATTGGCATTAGGTTGTATAAATATTGATCCTTGAAAGAAATCCTACCACAAACTCTTCAGGAAAAGAGACACCTGGTATACATTTTATTTAGGGTGTCAATCATGACTTTGAGGCGGGGGGAAGYTTATGAAGAATGAACATCTATGAAGATAGTTTTAAAAAGACAATACAAGTCACCTTGAAGAATAATTATACTGCCATGTCCACGAGGAGGAGGATGACAAAGGGGAATGAAGGGATATGGGAAAAAGTTACCATGATGGTTTGATCCTAGCCAAAGAGAAGCACACTAGAGTCGCCCCTTTTCCTTCGCTGTTCTGAAATTCTAGGTTTTAATGTTGAGGCTTATGCCGTGGCACACCTTTAATGGAACTGCACTGAATAACAAATGGAGACTTAGCATATTTTTGCCCAAGAAGCAAAGAAACTGTGTCAGTTATTTGTGAAGTCAATTAAATTCCTTTTAATCACCACACTCTACTTTATACTACATACAATCCAGACACCATTGACAATATTTAAATTTTTGACCTTTATTTATTCATTTTTTATTTTTTTGRTGATGCTGGATTGAATCCAGGGACTCCCAAGTACTAATAAGCAAGGTCTCTACCAATGAGCTACATCACCAGCCCTTTTTAAATTTTATTTTGAAACAAGGCCTCACAAAATTTCCCAGACTGGCCTTGAACTTGAGATTCTCCTGCCTCACCCTTTACAGTAGCTAGGATTACAGTGTGCACAGTCACRCTGGATTTGCTCATTCTTTTAATATTGGCTGGTTGGTAGAAATTCTCCAATTAACCTCTCTGGCATATAGTAGCAATATACTACCAATAATTCACCACCAAAATCTTTACTCCCTTTCTTCTTTAGTATGATCAAACAAACAATAAAGTAGTTAAGATAGACACCAGGTCTACYCTTATAAAAACAGCTTAAAATAAGGTCAAAATGATTAATTTCCAGTAACGGTGACCCTGTAGAAGTTAAACATTCATGATTTTTAGACTCAGTCACTTTTCCCTCTGTTTAATTTGCTAAGCTCTGTGTTCTCCTAGTTGCTTATTAACAAACCAAAAGCCACGTATCTTTTGCTAGTTTGAACAACTCTAACAAGTCCTCTGTAGGAGGAACAAACAGAACAGGGCTCAGAGACTATCTGTTGGCAATCTGTTGTCCCTTTATTCTTTCCACATTCTTAGAGCACCACATGCTTCACATGAGCCATTGAGCAAAGAGACAAACGCCTAAGAATGAGGCTGAGCCCCTTTCCCCAGGTCTCCCCTGCGCAATGGACACCTGGCCCTCCTCTTTTTCAGATAACAGGAACAAAGGCATCAGGTAAAACTACAACCGAAAGATTCCTTCCCACCCCAATTACATCTCTAACAGATCCACCTAAATGCAAGCAAGCAGCTGTGTGGACAGATTTATTTAAAAAAAAAAAAAAAATAGAGGAAAGATTTCTGTAAATCACTCCGGAGAAAATAGTTTCCAACAATTGCCACATCARTTTCAATAATGGTAAACATAAAAACAGGAATATTTCTTTACAAGGTTCTATCCTCTGGTTGCATCATTWAAAACAAACCCAATGCATATTTTTCTGAACCTATAGTGCTTTTGTAATCAGATGTAAAACTATATTAAATTTTTTTTTTTACTTTTTTTTTTTGATAAAAAAAAAAAAAAAAAGAATTGAACCAAGAGGTTCTTAACCACAGGGTCATATCCCCAGCCCTTTTTTATTTTTTAGTTTGAAACAAGGTCTCACTAAATTGCGGAGGCTGCTTTGAATTTGAAATCCTCCTGCCTCAGCCTCCTGATCCACTGGGATTACAGATGTGTGCCACAGTGTCTAGCTAAATTAAAAAAAAAAAAATTAAGGTGATTCTTTAGCCTAAATCTACCAAGAAACACAACTTAAAGGGCAGGTGGGTCTGTGCCCTGAGCATATGCAGTCACCTTCTCCAGACCTGATAATGTCTAAGGATTGGCAAGAGCTAAATCTCCCAGGGTCATAAAAAGGATGCAATGGTGACTGTTATTTAGGATCACAAACTGTCAGATTATTAGTGTGGAAGGAATTTTAAAGGTAATTAGCTACAATCCCCCCAGTTTACAGATGTGCAAATGGGGAACAGAAGCTTGACTGCTATCCCTTTGGCAACACATAGGGTTTAGACCCAAGGTTTGGCTAATGCTGCCTTTGGCCAAATGGCTCTCATAGCTCATTCCCTGTGTGAGAGACTCTGTTATCACATTCCAGAGAAAGGAAATTAATTTAATTTTAACTTCTGTCATATACAGATTCTGACACCCCTAAAATCTTTTTCTTTCTGWTTGTGGGCCATATTCTCTCTAAAATTAATAGAGATTTAGGAGATTTTATACCTCAGTCGTTGCTCACAAAACTGAGGCTGAATAAGTAGACTTCCATAATTGAATGTTTTATGATAATCACTCAGCAAATTTAAAAAATTTTAAGTTTCCCCCAAATGAATTCATAACACCTACAGCCAGGCATCATGTCTTTGTRTCCTGAAAAAACCCAGCAACAACATTTGAGGGTGTTTGAACTGTGTAGGCAAAGATGACCAAGTTACTCAACTCTTGGCCCAGGATACTGTGTTCTACATTTTAACTGATCAAACAAATGAAAGCTTTACACCAAGAGGGCCTAGGTGACATGGGGAGCGAACACATGCCCCGTGTTGCACTTCATCCCCTCTCGAGGCAACTGAGTCTCTGTCAAGAACCAGGATAGAAAGCCCCAAACCCCCAGCASCACTCACTCCATGGTTTCTATTTCCATGTATGGGTGGGGTGTGAAGATAAAATGAGTCAGTGTTGTAACCTAGAGGAGCGTTCTACTATATAAAAAAGAAAATTACATAGATATGCCTGTTCAGAGCCTTCGTACCTTTCACTGGATAGATTGGGTGKGGGAGGAAGGAAAATCATTTTATTCAAAAATTTAATCCATTTTTAGACAATGATATGAGAAATGGATGGAAAAGAGAGAAGCCCGCGCCTTGGGCCTCAGAGTATGATGAGCACTAGTGCTGCCTGCGGTTATAACCACTGACAGTTCCCACTGACAGTTACAGAGCTGCTTACCTGGATAGGCCTGCAAGGGCTGGCAGTGCCACTCCCCAATGCCACGGCCATAGCAGTAGCACTGGTACCTGATACCATGCACATGTTTCTCCCATGAGTCTCCAATTTGATAAAATGTCCGAGTTTCTGAATCCTGGCACTGATCTAGAATATATGCAAGGAAAAGATAAACAGCCTTGAAGATTTAAGTCTACCAAGTAAATTTCAGGGTGCTAGAGCATGCATTCTTGGAAAGTTGAATAAAAATGTCCAACTCTCCTTATAATTATATGCAGTTAAAAAACACTTTGTTCACATTCTTTGCCTTACAGGATGATTAGTTTAAGAAATATCCATTGGAAGGAATATTTAGTTTTCTAAAAATGGATATGTTTCTGAGTAAAAATGAAAAGAATAAGATCAGTATTAGTCTGAGCATTAATTTTTTTAAAATTACATATTTTATTTTAATGATATCAGTGTAACTGGCTTGCCATTTGAATAGCTAGGAAAAATTTGCAATAATTTCACATTGTATACTTCCTTAAAATCTGGGGGAACTAGATTTTAACTACGAGTACCCACTGAGCAGCTTCTAAGAAAACCTTCTAGGATCCTTCCCAGCTTGGTCAATCTTAGTTTGTTTTTGTAGTGAGCAACTTGCTTCTTTCAGTAAAGAAGTATTAATGAATTACCCTAAACTTTGGAGCACTAGGAACACAGCTCTTTTAAGATCCAACCTTTCCTCTTTGCTCAGTGCTACTTTAAAGGGAAGCCAAAAAATGGAGTGTTCTAGAAGGAGGTAGCGCTGGCACACTTCTTTGCCCATTTTAATGCACATTCAGCAAATAAAAGTGACTTTTCCTAACATGAGTCAGAACTAAAGAACTAAATTTATTGAATTAAAACAGATGATTACCACTATTGAGAAGACTTTGCAAAGCTCTGTAAACAGCTGGGCAAACTCTGGATCAACTTCCGTCATGTAGCATTGAATAGCTTTCCATATCTAAAACTGACCGGCCCTGCTTCATACCCAAAACCATCCCAGGAGCAGGGCTACTCACCAATGGGATCACACTGCCATCGGCCTCGGCCCTGACCAAAGCAGGTACAGTTCAGCATGTGTCCCTCTTCATGTCGCTTGTGGAATGTGTCATTCACGTTGTAAGTGATGTCATCAACAATGCACTGATCTGTTTAGAGAAGAGTTAGATGGGTGAGGAACTTTCAAAATCTCACTGACAAAATAAAATGAATTAAACTTTTCAAAGCATATTCCCCAGTCTTGATTATTAACAGATTGCATGAGAAGAACTTTCTACTGGTATAGAATATTCTAACTTTTTTTCAAAGCTTAGTCAGTATTACAATTTTTKCCCTCCCCCAATTTTCTCTTATAGACATAAATGTTCAAGTTTACAGCATGTACAACTAAAGCTAATTTTTAAACAAATACATGTCTTAGTTTCTGAAAAGAAACTTGGGGGCTGGGGATGTGGCTCAAGCGGTAGCGCGCTCGCCTGGCATGCGTGCGGCCCGGGTTCKATCCTCAGCACCACATACMAACAAAGATGTTGTGTCCGCCGAGAACTAAAAAATAAATACTAAAAATTCTCTCTCTCTCTCTCTCTCTCTCTCTCTCTCTCTCTCTCTCTCTCTCTCTCCTCTCTCACTCTCTCTTAAAAAAAAAAAAAGAAACTTGCTCAGGTGATAATTTTCTTTAAATCTCTGCTTGCCATAAGAAGATGATTTAACATAATATTTAGAACACAGCACAGTGTTGTGATCTGGTCTCTGGAATGGGGAGAAGGGAGGAGACATTGGATTAGGGAAATAAAATTACATCAATGCATCTTTGTAAAGTTAAATTAAATCAACTCTGTGTCTCACTCCATGAGAGATCCTGAGAAAATCACTTTGCTTCTTTGGGTCTCAGCATCTGCATTTGTAAAAGGAGGACTTGGTTTGCACACCATACTAAGTAAGTAAGGCTCCTTTTGGCTCTGCCATATCATATGCAATTACTATTATTCCTGGATTGTGTATCCATTCAACACCACAAAAGGAATAAGCTCAAGCCAATATCTACTCACTGGCTACTATTATGACTATTTATCAGCTCAGAGTTCTACCTAAATATTACTTTTCAAATCAAAGAAGTGGAAAACTGAAAGTCTGAATGAATCAACACCTCCTCATATTGAATCTTTGGGTTCAAAGCGGGGAAAGTAATCTGAACAAAGGAAATGAATCACTCCACGTATTCTTAAATTCTTCTTAAATTCAAATCTACAAGAGTCTGATTTTAGAATGGCAGTGTTTGTTCTTTGTAGAAATAATTCAATCTCTTTTAGACACAAATGCTGTGGTATCATGTAAAGTTCGGAGGATCAAATGTGTTCTTGCTTTGGAAGCCACCCTTTTGGCTCAGCCTAAGTTCTTCCATCCTTGGAATGCTTCAGAGCCTTAGAATTACTGTGCCGGATCTTCCCAGTTCATGAACCGCACAGGCATTTTGATTTCAAAGTTAGAGCCAGGCCCAAGCCCAGTCTGACTCTACTGGGTTTTATCTTCTTGGGGGAGGTCTAGAGAGTTGCTGCATGTCCTCTATTCTGAGCTGATATCACCCAATGTACCTCTTTCAAGAATCAATTTTCGGCMGGGTACATGRTGCACACCTATAATCCCAGAAGTTCAGGAGGCTGAGACAGGAGGATCACAAGTTCAATGCTAGCCTCAGCAAAATTGAGGTGCTAAGGAACTCAGTGAGAACCTATCTCTAAATAAAATACAAAATAGGACTGAGGATGTGGCTCAGTGATTGAGTGACCCTGAGTTCAATCCCTGGTATCCCCCTGCCAAAATAGAATCAATTTTCCCCTCCTCTGTCCTTCARTGCCACAGGGCAAATGTTCACAGACATTCCACTTTACTGTGCTTTTTCTCATTGCTACTGAGACAAAGAAAGAGAAATATTAAAAATGGAAAAATCACAAAGATCATAGGTTTCTATAAAGTTTTTCCAAAATCTTCCTAAAATCTGTTCACTGTGATAATGTCCCATCAAATGTAATAAATAGAAATCTCTTGGAGAAAAGAAAAGAATCATCATGCCAGCTTTTCCTAACTGGCTGCCCCCCAAAATGAACTTCTTCAGCATAGCAGACTGACTAATGGAGTGGCATTGGGGGATTCTTCTTCTGCTTTAGGTAAAGTACAAGTTTTCACATTAAAGTCTCTCTGTGTACCCTTTCTTCTCTCGAATTCTTTGGTTAATAAGGCAACATACCTCGGAGCTTGGAGTAGGCGACACATGTCCATTCTCCACGGCCATTCCCAATACACGTGCACCTCATCATGTGGCCCATATCATGCTGCTTATCCCACTGGTCTCCAATGCGATACATGACTCCTTCGTTGGTTGTGCAGATTTCCTCATGGGCTGTTTTGAAATGGAGAAGCAATGCATTTGATAAACAATCACAGGGTTAAGGCAGGTGTGCAAACACCATTATCAGTCCAGTCTAGACTTCCTAAGAATTCTCACTTGGAAAGACTTGTGTGCCTCAAAAATACCTACAGCTGTAAGGCAGAGGCAGAGTGATCTGAGCTCTGGAGAGAGGAAGCATCATCCAAAGGGAAAGTGTGGTTTTTTGTTCGCTTGTTTTTTTTATTTTTAATTTATTATTGTTGGCCTATTAAAATATATATAATAGTGGGATTCACGATACCATATTCATACATGCACAGAATRCAATTTGGTCCCTTGGTGGGGATTGTTAAAATAAGGTGATACCTGAATGTTCACTCATCTACCAGGCTTTAGGTAGAAGCCTGGATTGAGTACTGCTTTTAATTTTCCTATTTCCAGTTTATTCTAGTTCAAAGGAAAACTGTGTTTGGGTGTTGAATTGTAAGCAAACGTGAGTTTTCCTTTTAAACTCAATATGATCTTTTGTTGCAAAGAAAGCAATAAATGCAATGCATGGGTGGTTTCCTTGAGTCTTGTTCATGGCTGACGCTGCAGAGTATACAAGTTCTTGATTCTACAACCAGAAAAATCAAATGCACAGTTTGGAACTCTTGAAATTTGAAACCAAATAAAAGATACTGGTTCCCCTTTCTCCATATAAACTGGAGATTTAAAAAAAAATTCCCTATTGTCAGAAAACAAATTTTCAGATTTGTCTTTATCACTTTGGTATTTAATAAGTGTTAGAGCTAATGCCAGCCAAACAGTCACGTGTCAATACTATAGCTCTGTGACTACAACACAGACAAGTTGTTTTAAGTGACTCAAGCACACCAAAGTGTGGTCTTGACAAAAGTCAAACCTTTGCAACTTTATATTTTCAGATTTCTAAAAAAAAACATTTTTAATTGTCTTTGTGTATTTTGGACATTAAAGCATGTCAATGAGATTTTAAAAGGATTCAGATAATTATATAAATCATATTTTTTTTCAATCGAATGTATATGATGTAACATGTATACACATATATCACATAGATTTTTCTTCTCCAAATTGTCTTATTGGGTGAAGTAGGAGTAAATAGAACACTCATCTGTCTCTACTCTCTGAATGGTTGTCCACAAGGGCAGCCCAGAGGGCTTCCTCTTACCAGCCATGGGGCAGAATCCAAACTTCTGGTCAGCATCATAGTTCTGTGTGGTTCCGCACCATTTCATGTTGTCTCTCCTGCCCTCAGAAGTACAATCGGTGTAATTGCGGTTGTTGTACAGGAAGGGGAAGTGGCACAAGGCACCATTGGAATTTCCACCTCGAGTTTGAACCAAAACTGCCCAACACACAAATAGAAAGGAGATTACAACTGAGCTTTCCCAGGTACACAGGGGAATCACTATGGGGTCATTCTGAGAGATCCAGGTTTCTGCATTAATTCCCAAACAGTCTATCTCAGAATAAAAAAGGTCTGATCATTTAAATACACTAAATTTCTTAGTGTATTCACCTTCACCTTCAAATCAGAGTTAAATCCCATTGTCACTCATTTTCCCAGAAAAAAAAAAATAAACGATAGCTTTGAATAAAACACACTTTTAACCAGAAGATAAGGAAAGGCATTCAGATAGCCATCCAGAGTATTTTTCAGCTCAGTGGGATCATCTACTGATTTCAAGATGTATCTTTAATCACATCATAATCTCTGTGTATCAGTGTAAATGACCTAGAGGGCTTTTCTCTAAGCAGCACTGGGRAACATGGGGAGATACCCAGATGCAGAGTCACCATATCTTTTGGTCGAAGAAGAGCAAAAGCAATGGTTCTGGTGCAACCTCACAATTCATGGTTAGACTGTTGGCAAATAAGATGGGTTTTTCTCACTGCTGTGGTTTCTCCTGGGACACTCACCGGTATGGTCTGTACAGAAAGAGTATTTCTGATCCTGTTCATAATTCCAAGTCGTGCTGCACCAAAGATGCCCATCCTGTCGCCCTTCTGTGGTGCAGGAGTAGAAAGTCCTGCCATTGTAGACGAACGGTAAGACGCACGGCTCCCCGTTTGAATTGCCACCAAAAGTCTGGGTTACCGCTATTAGCATAACAGAAAGAATTTCAGTTAATAGAGCTCTCTCACCAATGGCAGCTTATTTATAGCTTAAATGAGAGATTGAGCTTCTGCCCACAAAGAAAAAAGCTGGGAGGACAGATGATCATCTGGTTAATTTCAGTTAAAATGCATTATTAAGGAAACCATGCCTGCTATGGATAGAACCATGACCTGAGTTCTCTGCTCACATCCTTTGTTACCTCTTCTGCCACCATGTCTTGGTTTCTCTATTTATAAAGCTATATTTATACAAGTTAATTAAAGATGTGGCTCAAAGATGCTGAGGGGATATGTATGACTATGTCTTTGCCATAAGAAATAACACTTGAGGCTATTTTAAGGCAATTTCTTTTGAAAAGGGTACTAATTTATTATTACTATAGTTGCTGCCATATTTGTAGCCCCGAAGAGATGCATTAGGTTATTGAATGATGTTTGCATCACAAAGCTGATGAAATCTGAGACGCAGAGTATAAAATTTGGATGCTTCGTTATTCTGAAAGCAACCCTCTTGTAACAATATTTTGGGCAAATAAAGATAATGCATAGCAGTTTGAGCCCCACAATATGAAGGAAATACATAAATTTAAAAAAACATTGGAAGAAAACACATGAAATGTTACCCCAATTGTCTTCACAGAGGAGTAAGATCATAAGATTTCTCTCATTTTATTGCATTACATATTTTGTAAATGAAGGTATTGCAAAAGATAAGTAACAAAGTCATCTGTACTGTTTTTTTAAGTATTTAATTTTTAGTTGTAATTGGACACAATACTTTTATTTATTTCTATGTGGTGCTGAGGATTGAACCCAGGGCCTCACACATGCTAGGCGAGTGCTTTACTGCTGAGGCACAACCCCAGCCCCCTGAACTGTTTTTTTTTTTTTGAAATGATAATGCATACCTGTCTCCTGACAGCTGATGCCATTGCCCAAGCAAGTGCAAAGCATTTGCTTGTTTCCTTGTGTCTTCAGCCATTGCATCCCCACAGAGTAGATCACACCACTGTCTGTGACACAGTGACCATAGGGAACAGGCTGGGGGTGAGTCGGGGGCTGGTAAATGGCTTGTCGGACATCTGTGATGGAGCCAGAGCCTAAGGGCACAAGAAATGAAAGTCACAAAACTGGATAAGAGAAGACAGTGAGCGAATTCTTGGAGTCAGAATCCTTAGGATCTCACAGAGATCACTCTGTCTTCCACGTGTCACTGGTCAGGAAAAGAAATGTCCCTTCCATTCTGCATTGTAGCTTTTGCATTCAGTCTAAGAAATTATCCACAAAACTTTACCAAATGGTCTCCATCTTCCAGTTCATCTGTGCTACTGGGATTATATTTTTAAATGACAGACATCATTCTGCCATTTCACCAAGCAGATACTTTAAACAAATACCCACTCGGGCCAGGAAACTCATAGTCCATGAGTTTCACAATCCTGCATTTGGCTAACTTCCTGCCAGCCTCACTTCTGGTCACTTTCTTGTCTGCTCTATGCCTTAGACCACTGAGCTGTTCATCCCCAGTATACCTAGAATCACGTGCTGACCTTTTCCTCATGCATTCCCCTTCACCTTACATGATCTGCCTCACCCTTCCTCTCTTAGCAGCCACCATAAGTCCATGCACTTGGGCATTGTTTTTTCTGACACTGATTTTAGGAGCCTCTGCCACTATACAGCAGACTTCTTGCCATCCTGTAACTGCACTCACTGGTGGGTACCCTGGGCAGCCGTACTGGATTCCCTACAAGCTGCCCTTACTTTCTGCATCTTGCTCTTCCACAGGATTACTTGTGCTTTTGTTATTAGTTTTTATAAAATTAATTAATCCTCCTTAGACGAGTTTCCTTCTGGATTAACACAACAGAATGTGCTTATTTTTTCTTGCAACTTTGGGAAATATGTTCTCCTGAAGGCCAGGGTTCATAGCAGAGTCAGAACCGAGGCTAGAATGACTGGTAGACTGAATTCCATGCACTAGAGCCCAGAGATACTTCACAGAGAAAGGAGCCCAGGTCAAAGACTAGGAAGATGGCCCTGTCTCATACACCCCACACTGAGAATCAAGAGGCAAAGGGACATAAAGGATCTGTGCAGCAGGTTTCATTTTGTTTAGCTCAGTATTCCTCAAACTGTTTTGAACAGGGAAACCTTTTTAGCATAGAATTAGTAATTAATAAAAATAGTTAATATTCAATGAGTCTTTACCCCCAGTTAATTTCCAATGACCCCTTTACTCTATTTTAGTAGACAACTGTGATTATTTTTTGTTTTATTTTTGCTTTTTTGTTCAGCAACAACTTTGACGGTAACCAAATAACTCAAAGATACCATCATGTCTTGTTTTGCTCATTTTTATAAGTGTTAGATCAAAATAAAACCTCATCAAAAGAAAAAAATCTAATCCATCAATATTTTTAGCTAAAAGACTGATAGCTAAGAAGCTAAATAACAACGCTGGCACATTAACAAAAATGTGCTGAGAATAATAGCAGAGCAAGGGTACACCCTTGATAACTATATTTCTCTCTTCAGACTCTTACAAAACATCTGTGATGCAAAAAAATCTTTTCTCATACCAGAAGTAACTAAAATTTCTTTTTAAAAATATTAAAGTTATTATTATTGTTATTTGTTTTCCTGCTGGGAATTGTACCCGGGGCCTCTACAAGGCTAAAACATGCACTCTGCCCCTGAGCTACGCCCTACCTCCTATCATGTTTTTGAACATGATATTTCCCCCACTAAGGTCTGTTTTCACTTCATCTTAATTTTCCTCCCAAATTTAAAGCCTGATAGTAAAAATAGTTTTTAACAACTAATAATCTGTAAATGATCTCAGCTTATTAGTTGAAACTCTGCAAATCCTCAAATGGCACGTCAAGGGAAAGGTGGGTTTGCAGAAATATTTCTTGATCCACTTCCCCATTCATGGCCCTAGTCATCCTGTGTCTCACCAGAGGACGTGGCCTGCAGAGATGTGTGCCTTTCGCACTTCCACTCCCCTCTGCCGTTGCCTGTGCAGATGCACTGCAGCAGGTTTCCTCGATTATCCTTCTTGCTCCAGGTATCTCCAATTTTATAGGATGACCTTGTGTCCTGATCGTTGCATCTGTCTGTTTCAGAAAAGAAGCATGTAAGTACATAAATCAGATCGAGATTGGCAAGGGATCAATTCGAACCTAACAAAGGAATACAGTTTAACGTTTGGTAGCCCACATTTCTGTAACGTTTATATTCAGCTCTGGTGCTGTAGATATTAAATTTCTACAAGATGAGACTGCATTTGCTAAGTGGATAAGTAGAGCTATGTTGTTCCACCTAATTCCACCTTTCTGTTTGCCAAAACTTGTTCATCATATTCTATTAATTTTCTTTCTTTCTTTTTTTTTTTTTTTGGCATGGGGAGTATCCAGGATTGAACTCAGGAGCACTCTGCCACTTAGCCACATCCCCAGCCCTATTTTGTACTTTATTTAGAGACAGGGTCTGAGTTGCTTAGCACCTCACTTTTGCTGAGGCTGGCTTTGAACTCAAGATCCTTCTGCCTCAGCCTCCTGAGATGCTGGGATTACAGAAGTGTGCCACCACCCCCTGGCGGTATTAATCTTTTAAAATAGCTTTCACGCTGTTCTTTTAACCAAAATTATTCTCAGGTATTGTATTATATCATTCTCAGGTATTGTACTATTCTGTATTTTTCCTTCTCAGGCTCTCCTGGGCCTTCTCTTAGTAATAATTATGGGCTGCCTTTCAATAGAACTTTCTTTAGAACACCAGACAGGAAGCCCTGAGGGTCTCCTGGGTCTCTACCAATTGCCCCAAGGAAGCTATGAAAAGACAGTAGGATCTCTTTATCCATTCATTATGTAAAAATATTCAGCAGAGGAACAATCTATGACTAAAATGTTCTCTTACTCTCCCCCCAAATACCTATTTAAAATTCACTAACTAAATAACCTCTTTTGAATTGTTCACTATTACCACTCTAAAGGAAAAGTGGGATTATTCATGTAAAATGGTAATTGGTAACTAAATTACCATTAGTCTATGTGTTTAGTTATCTGGCAGATAGATCGTTTAAATTATAATCCAGCTTCATCCATATGCTACAACGTGAATATAGAAGATCTGTTTGTGAATCAGATCTACTACAACTGTTGGGTTGGAAAAAATAATAATTAGATAGCTGGTGTAGGCACACACAAATCCACCATGGGAACTGCCAAGAGAATGGAGGTTGAACAAAGATTAGAACTTTCCTCCAAACTCCAATCAAAAGTCATTCCCTGACCCCTACAATTCTGTTTTCAGTATCTTGGGGGCAAACTCCTAACATTGGGTTATGTAGGTGGTAAGTACATATAATCCTTTCTCATCTCCCTGACCTACTAAGTGCTCTCAGAAGGCTAGGCTAATGTTCAGTTTATATTTACCTCCTTCCTCTACAACCTTCTACAAAGTATGCACTTATCTCATGGAATAAATAATCTTTAAGAAACTTTTGCCAACTTCCTATTAGAAAAGTTTTAAATAATAGATAAGAAATCGAGTTAGATTTTGAATTTGTCTTAAGCTAAAATATTGCCACAGGGGCCTTAAAGGCTGAGAATCAGAACATTTTAAGAACAAAAAATCTAATGAACTAGTAAGTTTCTGAGAAATATTTGGTCAGAATCATTGTCATTTTATATGAGACTTATTTTTTTTTAATATTTTTTTTTTTTTAGTGTTGCTGGACCTTTATCTTATTCATTTATTTATATGCGGTGCTGAGAATTGAACCCAGTGCCTCACACAGGTGAGGCAAGCACTGTACCACTGAGCCACAACCCCAGCCCCGAGACTTATTTTTGTTGTTGTTGTTGTTAGCAAAGAATTTGAATTTGATGGAGTCTTTTAAGATAATTAAGTGTTTTAAGMTAAATTAGTAAAATAGGTACAAGATATTTAAATTTGATTTTAAATTCAGTTATAATCTATAACATCAATAGTTAATGGCTGTTTTGCATCAACATATTATATAGCTGCTGTTAGTTTTAAATTCTACAAAAGGGGCCCTGAAAACAAAGGCAACAATTTATATTTCAAACAATTTAAAAAGGATCATTAAAGATTCCCGAGGCCAAATTTTCAATAGCACTAATAAGTTGGGTAAGAGACACTATTTATTGATGCCAGAGTTGACAACTTTAACCTATGGTATAAATACTTTTTATTTTCATCAATTTTGCTCATAAATCTTTTAAACCTAAAAGGAAACCTAAACCTTTGGAGCTTGGTTCATTTCCATGTCAAATGCATCCCATGCCAAAAGATATATTGGTGTGCTATTTTTAGTAATCTTTTTGCTCTTTTTGAGATACTTGAAAAACATCTCAGTGACAATTTAGATCATGCATAGAACTAATTTTCAAATCTATGACACATTTAGCATCTGAATAAATACGAAGATTTTTTTTCTTAGTAGCCATAGCCTAAGACCTCTTGAACAAAGATTGTTGTTTTCTACTTATTTAGTCTTCTCAGATACAGAACACAGTGGCTATAGAACTTTCCCTGACATCCTAAACTCTGCAGGGCTGTTATTGTATTGGATGTGTTCTAAGAGACGTCATATTATAATTCTCTCTAGGAATTCCAGAAAACAGTAGCTGGCCTCACGGTCAACACAGAGACCTAACACATACTTCTAGAGGTGCAAGTGATGCGTCCGCTGCCTTCTCCCAGGCAAGTACAATCCACCATCATCCAGCCTTGATAGGGCTTTTCCCAGGTTTCCCCAACAACATAGGAAGTCCCAGCAGCATTGTCAAAACATTTCTCAGCTGTAGAACAATTTGGAAGAAAAACAGAGAGAGAGGGGGGGGGGGGGGGGGGGAAGGTTATTTTGAATTGTACTGTCTCCCTGTAATTTTAAGTGTAGTGTGTTAGCAAAAAAATCCAGCCACATTTTTTTAAGTGGCACTCTCTTCGGAAAGAAAGGCACGCCCTGGACCTAAGCACAGAGTAAGCAGCCAAAGCCAAAGGAAGCTCCAGTCAAACTGGCAGGAAGAGCTTGTCTTCTACTAATGAGCACATGGACTGCACATTTTCAGCCAGTCTCAAGCTTCCCACCAGCGCTTGGTGTGAACAGTATGTATGGATCTAGTCTGTGGGAAAATTCCAAACTTAATTATGAATTATGAATGGCCTGAATAAGACAACAAAAGACCTCTTTCAAATTTGGATTTCTGTAAAAACAACATAAAACCCCCCAAATTAGAGAACAATAAGCAAAGGGAACCAAAAAACTTTTGGACTTATATATATGAGTTCAGGTGAGGATTGAGACTAACAAAAGCTCACAAATTTTTATTATGAAAATAAATTGCCAACGTGCCACGAACAGCACTTGTCATTTTACATTCCAGTCCAGTGCATTTCAATGAAATGTGTCAAAAGTGTCATTTTTTTTTCTTTTGAATAATTTATATCTTAACCAAGGTGGATCTGAGATCAAATGTATATTTTGGGGTTTTTTTTTTTGTTTGTTTTTTTGTTTTTTGTTTTGTTTTGATTTGATTTTGCAGTGCTGGGGACCGAATCCAGGTTCTCATACATGCTAGGCAAGCACTCCACCACTGAGCCCCATAGTGCTATAGTCCTGAGTTCAAATATTAACAGAAGAAGGGCCTTCGTCCTAAATCTTTCAACTCTATCTTGGGATTTTGAAACAAAGTGAAGACTTCTGTATATGGTTAGTACTTTATAATCTGATTTCCTTAAGAAGATTGCAGATCATGTAACATTTCATTAGTTAAAATAAAATTCCCATTTCACTCTTTTTGAAATTGGAATTCAGATTTCCAGTTCATGTACATGTGATTTGGGTTCGACTCAACATCATAGCTCTGCTTGGTGCCCCTATTAATCCGCAAAAGCCACACACCTATAGGCTTGCAGGTCCACTCTCCTTTCCCGTTGCCAAGACACACGCACTCCAACATGTAACCACCAGTCTCATGAGGTCTCCTCCAGGTGTCACCGATCTTGTAGGACTGACCCCCTTCGTGGCAGCGGTCTGTTTAAGGAAGAAGGCAAGGGTTGATAGAGTGGGACAGAGAATTAAGGAGGAAAAAAAGTCTTGTGTTCCACCTAGAACAGGCACTTATATAGTCTAAAGTGAGACACAGAGAACAGTTTCTGTGTCCTACTAGAGACACAGAAAAGTTAACAGAGCTGGTCACTCTGGGTCAATTCAATTAAATGTCTTTGTGCCTAAAGTTCAAAGGAAACCACAGAGAAATCTGAATATCAAAGAAAAGGCAATAAATCCTGATTCCCCGGGGAGATCACAGAAAATTGGGTCCTAACAGAAAAGAAAGGTGGGGAAGCTTGGCCTCCACCCATGCACAGTTGGTTGAGCCTGAGACCACTCAATGCAAAGGCCACATTTGGTAGAGCATTCCCATTTTCAGGTGTATAGAAAGCCTATAATTTACCCTAGGATAGGTATGTAATTTTGGTGGAAAGCAAATGGATACATGCATATAAAGTGTGGGAATCCTGATGCTTCTCTAGGATATTAAATCCAATAGCACATCCAAAGGCTAAATTGTTCATTAGATAGCAAACACTGTAGACCACTGATCTTAAGATCTGCCTATGAAGTTTCATAAACTCTAGCTTAAGTGTGGGGAAAGTTGATTTTGTTTATTCACAAGGAGCTAATTTGTTCTTTTGGATGGAAACATTTCAGATGACTTTAATATAAGTGATTAAAAAATCCTATTAATAGAAAATACTGGTAACTCAATGAATCATACTAGAATGATTGCCTTCGCTTCACTAGAGCTGATGAGAATCAGCCCAGTCCCCAGTATTCCTTGGGCATGCTACGGGGTTAATCATTTCGTATTATCTCTGGGAATTACTATCTCAGAGGTCTGTTTCCTGGATTAACCTACAGGTCACAAATAAACCAGACCATTTCTGATATGCAAGAGGTCTCTGCATGGCAAACAAGAAAAGCAGATAAGATATGACTGACTCACTCTTCATGAACAGCTTTCCAATCACTGGGCTTGAAGATGCCCAGGTAATTTAAAATACTAACTCCCCTAAGCACATCCTACTGAAATGGAACTCAAGAGAGCAGTTTGATTACACCATGTATATACACGCACACACACAGGGACATAAACACACACTTATAAATTCATACACATTAAATACTCTTTCCACCAGTGCTTAGAACCATCTTCTAGAAGCACAGAACCAGTTGGGTGGCCACACAAAAGCACCTGGTCACCATCCCAAAGGGAAGAATAGTCCATCGTGGGTAACAGAGAATAACAGTGACATTAATAGAGAAATTCACATTTATGACAGTTTATCATCATTTTACAGAACGTCTTCCTTACTTGCAATCGTGCAGCTTATTCTCCCTCGCCCGGCCCCGATGCAGGTACAATCCCAGATCATGGAATCTTTAGGGCGCTCGTAAGTGTCACCCACTCGGTAAGTGTTCCCAGTATACTTGTCAAAACAAGTCTCTTCAGCTGAGGAGAGAAGAAGCCCATGTGAGCCTCACATATGTGCAAGCCTTTCTGCCCCACTAATCCATCCAGAGGAAAATGCGATTTTCTGTTTGAACAGCTACTGCAAGTTTTAAAATGAAGTGCAGAGTTACAGACTCTACCTTTGGCACAAAAAAGGTCACAGTTTTTGACCACTGACAAGTTCTCAGATTTTCTGTAAATATTTCTATCAGAAAGAATTCTCAAGGGAAAAAAAAATTCATACAGAGTAGTAGCTTACAACAGGCTAGACTGAAGAAAGGGATTCAGATTCCAATCTCTGAGTCAGGGCCATATAAAAAGCAGTTTGAAGACCCCTACCTCCCTCTAGGCATTGACCCTTGTTAATTCTAGTAAGTATTTCCATTTGAGCCTCATTGGTGCTTCTCTGAAGGCATTGCTATAATTTACAAGAGATACATCAATGCTCTGAAGGTATGAACACTTTGAAGTGGTTAGTGGTTTTGCATTGAACCGCAGCTGACAAATCACTTTACAATATAGTGCCCTAAAGTGTTTTCTGGCCCATAATCTTATAGTTCAAGATCTGAGATTACTTTCTAATAAACTTTTATAAGTTTTGTTTTGAAGGAGGACTCACAGAATCTTTCCTTTTTCTCATTAAAAACTTTGGGAGAGTAAAAGAAAAAGACAACTCTGGAAACAAATTTGGAATATATTGTTTAAAGGTAAAAGTGGAATATGAAAAGCCCACATAACCAGCTTAGAAAGAAGAAATAATAGGCAATTCTATTAGAAAAATGGTGCGTGTATTTTTATTTAGTGCTAAATTTGAGTAACAAGGCTCACTCATTTATTAAAAGACTCTAGTGACATCCCTGCTCCCCGCACAACACTTACGCTCAGGTTTGCTCTCGCAGTTGAAACCTCGACTCCCTCCATAACAGGTACACACCAAGGCATTGCCTAGGTAGGTGCGCTCCCACTGTTGGTTTATCTGATAGTGTTTTCCATTGTCAAAACAACCAGCTGTAAATAATTGAAGGAAAAAGTTATTAAACTTCCATTCTTCCTTTTGTTCAAATTATGGATTTTTTTTCTTTACACACAATCAAATTAATAAGTCTGGGCACCAAGCAGAAAAAGAACTTAATCACCAGAATGCCAGGAGAATTAAAAATAATATTCCACTAAAATATAGACGTAGAAACTAGTTCTTCAAGGAGTTAACCACAATTTGTATAGGTGGATATTTTAATTTATTCTTCTTTGAACTTAGCTAAAATGTTATGCAATGATGTCATTTCCATCTGGCCAAGGGTCTACATCAAAGAAATGGAACAATTCTAAAAGGAGGATAATTGAAATTAACATTTTGAAATATGCAAGGAACTTCAATACCCTTTTGGAAAAAGAAGTCAAGAAAGGCAACTTTAAAGTTTCCTTTAGCTAAGGCAAAGGGAGGGTGTGTCTTTGAAAAACTGGAAGAGGAATTCCAATCCCTTCTTGGTGAAGAATCCCAAGGGGCCTCAGAGCAATCTGAACCAATTACGGATCTTTCAAGTTAGTAAGAAACAAGTTATTATCTTCTCACCTCCACTTGGAAAATATTTAACAAGTTATTTAGTAACAAAGAAAATAAGGAGCAGATGGAAAATTGATAGGCACACATGATCTTTCTCTTTAAAAGCAAGTTTTGATTAATTCATAGAAGGTCACTCTGGGACGTGTAGAATTGATTAGGACAGCGGAGGACACTGCAGAGTCCCTGTCCTCCAATGCATTATCTCCTCTTAAGGCCCCCAGAACCCTCTTGCTCAAACCAAGAGCCTTTTGTGTCCACAGCTGGTTTCTCTCAAAAAAGCGCGCACTCACACTAACACACACACACACACACACACACACACACACATACACACACGCACGCGCGCAAAACTTCAGCCCCAACTTTACTTAGCGTTGAGGTGCCATCCCGGCGACCGCCTGTTTTCAGCCCGCGGTCGGTACTTACGCTTACTTTGAGCGACAGTCACGGGGGACTGGGGCTGCACGATTTGCTGAGCCTGCCTCTTGCTCTTCGAGGCCCCAGTGGAGGGCACCGCTGTCCCCAGGCACAGGACCGCCAGCAGCAGCAGCAGCCGGGGCCCAGGACCCCTGAGCATCTTGAGTGGGTGGGGGGAAAGCCGTCCTCACCAGAAGGCAAGTGGGCAACAAGTTGGGTTCCCTTCGCAACCTGCGGGAAAATTCCCTCCCAACGCTTGTAAGAAGGTGGGGGCCAGAGGATGGGGCAGGGAACCCGTGGAAGGACCGGAGAGGTGGACAGGGCGGGAGAAGTTGTGGCTGCAGGTCCCCGCTCCTCCGCTCGCGCCAGGGGTTCCTTCTCCTCCCCCTGTACAGCGCGAGCGACCGAGCCCGGGACGCCCCGGCTTATATGGGACGGTCCCCTCCGCCCCCCGCGAGGCCCGGGGCGCAGGAGAGGAGGGCTCTGCGCTCTCCCCACGCCCTCCCACCGCCGCCTCTGCCGCCGCCGCGGCCGCCGACCGCGCCACGATTGGCCCGGGCTCCWGGTGACGTCACGGGGGACTGTGGGTTCGCCCCGAACAAAAGAGATGCTGATCGCCCGCCAGGATTGGGGCAGGAGAACTTTTTATTTTTGGTTTCCTTTGCGGTCGTCCAACTTTTTGGGCGATCGGGGGGAGGGATGGGAAACGACTGTAAAGGAGTAGACTGGGAGGAGAGGGAGGGGCTGGAGTTGGGGGAAGCAACGGGCTTGCGAGGCTGCCCCCTCTTCCCTTTTCTTTCTTTTAAAATTGGGGGTGGGGGTGGTGTTTGAGGACATTGCGTCACCTCTGGGGGGAAAAAGTCTGTATTCACAGGAGTGCATTTTGTGGGGGAGGARAAACCATAAAGTAGCCACCACCTTCCAGCTGTAGGAATCCAGACTTTGCCGTCCCAGGGCGGGGCTGGCTATTTTTTTCTGCTGCCTTTCTTTGGTCTAATGTGCCCTGGGTTGGGACATCCTTTCTTTGACTTCACGGGCGTCCTGTTCAGACTTCTTTCCTCTACGCTGTACCTACCTGGATAGGAGAAAGGGCCAGCCGGGAAATGGTTGGCGAAGGGGAAAGTAAGCCTTTAATGAGTTTCTATTAAGTGCCAGGAGTTCTTGGGGGTGCTTTGCAGATCTGGGGRAAATTGAGAGAACGAAGCGGGGTTTTGTTTGAAAGGACAAAACAACAGTTTCCTTTTTATATATGCAAGAATATAAAATGTAAAAAGAATATAGATCTTTCTTCCCTGGGGATGGGAGGCCCGTTCTACTGGAAGAATCATCAGTAGTGAACAAGCTGAGAACTGAAAAGTCTGACCGGTTGTAGACGGACAAAAAGATCCATGTCCTTGCCACGTTCATTGCCCTTTACTCACTCAGCAGAGATTTTGTTAGAATCACTAAAAGCTGGGGTGGTAGTGGTGGTGAACTTCTGCAGTCTTGCCTTCCTACAGCCCCCAGCTTGGGTTTGCTTGGCATTTTCTTTTTTTGCAAAAATCAGTTTCATCAGATAATTCCCCACCCCACCCACCGCCAGATTTTTATGTTTCAATTGTTATTTTCTCCAAGAATGTGGAAAGTTCCCATTTAAGACTTCCTTTGTCTTTCCTTCTAAACTCGAGTGGTGGAAAGGGAACCTGAGAAGTCTCCAGCATTTAGCAACTCATGACATTGGTCCTTTTTTTTTTTTTCTTTCTTTCCTCCAGGCAAACACAAGTTTACTTGATTTTTAAAGGTTTTCAAAAGGAGAAGCCCACAGTTTTCACAGTAGCCCCTGAGAGATCTACACTCAAAGCTCTGTTTTCTCCTTAGGATAGGAGTGCAGAGGTCCCCTTTGCTTTGAGAACATTTTTAAGTTACTAGCAAAATATGTTTATTTCTGCAAGGTACGTGTTTTCTCCAAAAGTTCCTCCTTCAGAACTTCCATAGGGGTAATTTGAACTCCACGGTCTATAAAATCCCTAACACATTAAAGACACAAGACTAACATTTGTTTTTGTTGATGTAAGGAATTAAAAACAAAAAACCACAGCAAACATCAGTTTCCTGCAAGTGGTGTAAAATAATTCTTGTGACCAATACTCCAAGTTGAAAGAGAGCCATAGATTTCCCCAAATTTAGAATCCCGTCTGGGTTAGAGTTTTTTTTTTTTTTTTTTTTTTTTTTTTTCTCATCATCACTTGACAAAAAGTTTTCTCTTTCAAATATAAAAGGACTCCTTGTAAAACGCTCAGTAAATTTCTGGGAAGCCCAGTGTTCCTTCCAGAGGAAAGGATACCTGGAAATCAGGATGTAAGCAAGATAAACCTGAAGCTAAAGCGGTTTTAAAATACACAGATTCTGGAGGAAGGAAATAAGTGGTCTGAAAAGTATTTTGTCAACCAAAAACATGAGGGTTTGTTATATTTATTCTACTCAAAATACATTAGAATAATATACCTATGAGGGCTTGGGAGTGGAGAGAAGCCCAGTGTACTTTTCAGAAATTTTTATATTTCAATCTCATAGAAATATAATTAAGAATTTTTAAAATTTCTAATGTCTCACAAGCAAAAGCATAATATTTGTCTGAATTTTAAAGGAATCTYAGGAGTTTACTCTTTTACTTAAAAGTTGTTTTTTGTTTTTTTCTCTTTTTAAACTTGTTTTTTGTTGTTGTTTTGTTTTCTAACTTTGGAGATTGAAACATTTTCTTAATTAAGATAACAGGGCTCTACAGCATTCTTTCATTACCCAAATCCCTTGTAGCTCTGTAAGTCTGTTATCTCTAACTGGGAGATGATTAAATCTTAAAGACCACACTAAGTCAACTGAAGTCTCTAGAGCCCAAGATTTCCCTAAGAACTCTGAATAGTTTGACAGGGTAGGTTCCTCTTCAGTGAATAGTGGCCTTTTACTTGTAGGAAACACCCTTGGGTTTCTCTCATTAAATAACAAATAAACAAGCAAACAAACAAAAACTCCATTTGGAGAAGCAGCCATTACAAAAAACAAAAAACAAAAAACCCCAAACCGGATAATCCATAGCAACAGGAAGTGCATTGGTGGGTATCTGGAACTGGGAATGGGAATTAACTATTTTAATACACACAAAAGAATTTTACTGGGGTGATGGAAATAAGTGTTCTAAAACTAGACTGTGGGGGTAACTGCCCAGTTAGGTAGTTCCTAAAAATCACAAGAGTTGTGCACTTAAAATGGGTGTTCTAATGTAAATTATACGTTAATGGAGTTTTTTTTTTTAATTTGATTTTAAAACTGCATTTTTAAAAAATTCTGTTGTATTTTTGACATCTCCTGATTTTGTTTTCAAGACTTGCTCCTGAGCGATAACAACATACCCAAGGTGCCTTTATTTCTCATTTTTCTAAGAGAAAGTTTGCCTTGACTACAGGAGATTTTCTTATGCACCAGTGGTGCCTTATAAAACCTAGTCTTTGAGTGATGGTTCATCTTGGCAGAGACAGAACAGATTGTCATTGAGGACTGTGTCTTGTTTCTTCTTGGAATTGCCTCAGTTGATAGAATTTTCCCCAGCACTACAAACAACTTCTGTAACAAGAAGGGACACATATATTTGTGTGTGGGTGAGGTGGAAGGAGTATTATTTGAATGATTTGTTATTGGAAAGGGTTAATAAGAAGCATGAGCAGTTATGGAAATCTGAGTTGAACTGGCTTCATTCAAGTGGAAKATTGGCAACGGAGACATTTGGTTAAGCAACAAAATAATTTATGAGATCCACCAACTTAGAAGAATTGAAATTAAAATACATTCAGGGATGAATTTTAAAAGGTAATTTTTTTGCAAGCCAAAAAAAATCAGCTTTTCTTTAAGACTGATAAGCACAATTAGGACAATATTTTTCCTATTAAATCCCTTCCCTAGTGGGAGAAAAACTTTTCGCTGATAAGAAATACTTCTTGACCCCAAGGGTTACAATTAGATGACAATGGACCATTTTTCTTGAAAACCTTTGGCATTTGCTCGGCTCTTAATCCCTGAACTGCAAGGGGCAGGCCATTGAGTAGGTGATCTCTGGAACTTATACATTTCATAGTTTTTTTGCTAGGCAAGTTAGATGGAGTAGTGTTTATTTCTTATCTTGATTTAATTATTTTGGCATGAAATTCTTCCCTTCTTCCCTTGAAACGGGCCAAGTTTGCAAAAATGCTACTCATTAAGCACAGGTGTGAGAAAGAAAAGAAAGTACCCCATGGGTGGCCCACATGGGTAGAATGTCTGAGCAGTTTGTCCASAACTGACAGGGCGCCTGCAACCAGGCAGAAAATACCTGAGAAGTGCTTTAAACTGTGCCATGAAAGCTACSTGGTTTTCACTTAGCAAGCATTTTGTTCATATTTTAAGTGACTTTATTTTTTTTAATCAGCACTTTTAAAATCCTTAATCTGCGTCTTTTGCTTCTTAACAGGAGTACTTTTTTCTCATTAGAGTGATGTAACTCCCAAAAGGCTTTGTGAAGGAATCTAATTCATCCAGTAAAATAGAAATAAACTACTGTGTAGCTGGAACACACCACCAAGATTGTGTTATAGGACATTTCTACTCCCCAAGATAGGTGGCACTTTCTTGGGGAATTTTAATTTTTGTGTTTTATTGCTCATTTTTCCAGTTTTGCACTATTTTTGTGGTACTTTGTCTTGAAAGGCTGCATTTTTCAATATTTTAATTATTTTCTATCTTTTTTACATTCACATATGTTAAACATCCACATATAGCTAGTCATGCAAGTTGAAGTGAATGCTTAAAACTAAACATGATGTTTTAAATAAACTTTTATACTAAAAATTAACTTGTAATATAGGTGGTTAATAATTCCTTTTTTTTTATTGTTGGTCATTCAAAACATTACATAGTTCTTAATACATCATATTTCACAGTTTGATTCAAGTGAGTTATGAACTCCCGCTTTTACCCCGTATACAGATTGCTGTATCACATCAGTTACCCTTCCATTGATTGACATATTGCCTTTCTAGTGTCTGATGTATTCTGCTGTCTGTCCTATTCTCTACTATCCCCCCTCCCCTCCCCTTTTCTCTCTCTACCCCTTCTACTGTAAATCATTTCTTCCATTTGTATTATCTTGTCTTACCCCTCCTTTCCTCTTATATGTCATTTGTATAACCCTGAGGATCGCCTTCCATTTCCATGCGATTTCCCTTCTCACTTCCTTTCCCTCCCACCTCTCAACCCTGTTAATGTAAATCTTCGTCTCAAGCTCTTCGTCCCTACCCTGTCCTTGTTTCCTCCCCTTATATCAAAGGAGTCATTTGGTATTTGTTTTTTAAAGATTGACTAGCTTCACTTAGCATAATCTGCTCTAATGCCATCCATTTCCCTCCAAATTCTATGATTTTGTCATTTTTTAATGC